CTGCAGTATATATATGTTCAAATAAAAATAAATAAAAAACGCTATAGAATTACAAAACACGCGGGTACTGTTCTATACTTCTTTCCCTTTAAAGCTATCGCACATCCCAGATATATACATAGAATGAAAATAGCGCAGCATTTTTTTGTGTTGGTTTAAGTAAAATATGACTTTACGAAAACGCTTACAACCTCTGTTATTGGAGCACTTTAAGTCTATGCGTAAAGCTAATTGATCGAAGAATGACGAATATTGTATGGCTGGCTTTTCATAAGTTGACGCAGTGCGGCCTGCATCCGCAACAGCGCGAGATACCTGTAAAAAAAAACACTCTGTAGCTCTTCAACACGTAACGTTACGTTTTCAATATTTCTCGTTAGTAAGCGAACCACACCTCGGAACGGAAAGAAACAAAACCCTTTAACTACGAAACAAAAAGAGCGAGTTCAGCGACGTCTTCTTTATTGATTTTTCTTTCTTTTTTTCTCGCTCGACTTCTCTACAAGGCTGTCAGTAGCAAGCGAGAGCGGCTTTAGTGCAACGCTTGTCATTATCCTGGGCCCCGGGGCTATGCGCAGTTCGCCGCTACTACGGGACACATTCTCACCCCCGCTGCGGCAGTCATTCCTTTCTCATACGCACAGAACCAAGTTCGATCCCGCATCGGCCTCGCTACATTTTCACAACGGAAAAACTTCCCTCTAATGATCAGCACTCTGCCCCATCCGTCTATCTTTCTTTCTCGCTCCCGGCATGCGGATATCGAACAATGCATAAATATTATCTTTTCCTGATCTTTTTTTTTTACGCGAGTAGTTTTTTGTGAGTTACAGAGAGCACCACGACGATACTTTTGCGGTGCCTGTCAAAGGCACAACACCCCTCCGCCACTCGTGTTATGATGATAAGTACCGTTTTGTTATTTTGTTTCTATCGTTGTTATTCCGAAACCCTTCGTCGTGCTATGATCGTGCTTCTCTTTTTGTTTACTTCATATTTGTACTCGTGTTGCGCCGACAATGTTTGTTTTTCGTATAGTTTCTTTACCTCTCTTTCTCTTTTCCTTCGTTATTCTTTTCATTCGTTGTCGGTCATTGTGTTGTTCATCGGGAACGCTTCTCTGCGAACCTCTCTGTGGTTTTTGACTGCGAGGTTTCGAACTCCGAGTGGATCCATAGAGCTCGAAAAACGTTTTCCGGGGTTTGTTTAGCTTTTCAAACCTATTCACCTGCAGGTAATACACACAGCTCGTCTATTTAGAAAAAAAATTGTCTTTAGGTGTATGCTTGTATGTGTGTTTTGCCGAGATTCTCGAAAGAAAGAAAAGAAAGAAGAAAAAAGCGGTCGGTGCGCGGCGTTTGCTGCCTGACTGCGCCCTGGATACGTACCCACGAATCGATATAAGCCATAACCCTCTCTGCGATTTTCGCCGATCCCGTAGTTTTTAGTGGGACTTTTCCTTCCCGTTTTCTTGCTTGAATGCCTTCTAGAGGGCGCACCGCGCATTCTTCCTGCGACTTGGGCTGCGGTTGTGCCTATGCGCGGCGATCGGTCCGACGCTGAAAAGGGCCCACCCGAGGTATAGTATCGATTGAGAGTTCGCGTTGAGTCGTTCAGCCCCCACCCCCCTTACCCTCCTGCCCCCTTCCTTGTACACTGCAGACGCACAGGGACGCCTATTACCGAAATTGAAGAGCCGCTTCCGTGTACATGCTTGATGGTTTGTGCTTCTCGTGCTTCCCGAATCGCGGAATAGCCCGCTGCTCCCCTAAAGCTGAAGTGGAGTTTCAGGTCTTTAAAGAAAAGCGAGGGATTTTTTTTTCCTCAAACGAACGAACGTCGGAACGGCAGTTATGCGGAAGGTATACATTCCCAAGGGGAAAAAGATATTGTTTCAGAAGGAGGTGACCTCCTGAAAATACTTTTACACGAGAGGCCTGTATAGGAAAAGAAGGGCAGTTGAATAATCGCAAGACTACTATTCTTACAATATCTACCACTGATGTCAGTGTTCGAACTAGTAGTAGTGGTATGGATGAAAGAGACACAGGTAAAATGGGAAATACAGAGAAACAGCAGAAGACCCAGAAAAATGTACTATCACCGAGAGGGAAGGGTTAGAGGGGCCTGCCTAATATTCAAGAAAAGTATTTATATAAAAGCTGATGATAACGAGAATAAAATTAGGGAAGTGACAAAGAAAGAACGAGATGACAGACTGCTTGTACTAAAACAAAAAGAAGGAAAGAAAGCTCTCCAGGTCAAGCCCGTTCTCTTGTGAAAACGTAAGCGTATTTGCGTCTATAGGAGCAAAACCAATCGGAGACAAGCGTAACCGTAGGGAGCCGAACATTACAACAGTAACTGCGGAAAAGTCCCCGCAGCATTGGCCATACGCGCTGCGCAAGGCCTGTAGTACACACTCTGTATAGTATGAAGTGCTCAAGTGTTTCGCATGCAGGAATTGCAATACGCAGACGGCTTCACTGTAGCACTCGTCCATGTCGGTGCAAACGTTCTAGCATCGAGACATAACCAACCCATAATGCGCTGATATGATAGGATGGTCAGTGGCAGCCAGTTAAGTTGGATAAGCTACGCTCGATGGCAGTCGTGATACTGTGCACGAGTGGTGCACAACGCCGAAATCCAGTGCTATAAAGTTTCTAGTGTATATAATGCAGTGCAATTAAGTACTATACTCACTGTTGTGTATAGTACTGAGAAGCTCGGTGCTGTACTCTATATATAGTATAGTTTGTTAGCGTTCCGGCATGTTGAGTAGTTGCCGCAAACTTGAAATGGACTTGTCCTCGCGCGTGTTTCTACGGGCGCGCTTTTCGTTCGCCGCAGTAATGTGGCGGTGCTCGCCTGTTGACCCAATGGTCGTGGGTTCGACCCCGGCCGATGTTTTTGCATTTCGAAAATGGTCGAGGCCCGTGCACTGTGTGGTGTCAGCGCGCGTTAAATTACATCATGCAGATGGTCAAGTTTCCGGAACTTATTTCCACTACAGCGTGCGTCAAAATCGTAGTTTTGGCACGCCATATCTAATCATATTTACGGACCGCTTAAGTTAACTTAGTAAGTTAGCATTCAGTGCTATCAATGAAGCATTCAATGAAGTAGCTATCATTGAAAATCTCCGAAAGGCGCCGAACGCGCGCGCTGCGACGGCGCATGCGCAGGAATTAAGACATTCGAGTCCGCGTGTTATCACGCTTCCTTCGGCAGGAGCTGGTCTTGGGACTTAATTGCCTCCGAAAAAAAAAACGGCGTCTTCGAAGCTCCGGTGCGTAAGACCACTCTTGATTGCTGCGCACCACCGCACTTTTTTCTCTCGGTAAACTGCAGACATGGCCGAATGAAGATGTTGAACGTCGCTGATATCACTGCAGAACGCACACAGCATGAAACAGTATTATTTATATGTAGGGTTTGACGTCCCGAAACCACCATATGATAACGAGAGACGCCGTAGTGGACGGCTCCCGAAAATTTCGACCACCTGGGGTTCTTTAACGTGCACCCAAATCTGAGCACACGGGCCTACAGCATTTTGCCCTCCATCGGAAATGCATACGCCGCAGCCAGGATTCGATCCCGCGATTTGCGGGTCAGCAGCCGAGTACTTTAGCCACTATATACCACCGCGGCGGGGACACTTTTGCAAGTTTTTCATCTTCTTTATTATTTCCTTTATAAGTCTCGTACATCATATACCACTTTCCAACTCGACGTATAGTACGTGTCTCGTGAAACACTTCCCCCCCCCCTTTCTTTTTTTTTCACGCGTGTTTATCCCGAGAAACCTCTCTCGGACACATTTCTTGTTGCGCTTACCGGCATGCGGCCTCGCATAATGGAGCGCAAAGTCTGAGACGTACGTCTCGGTCGCGGCGCCATCGATTTTGCGTTTTCGACACACTTCAAGCTGGGCTGACGTCGGGCGTGATGTCTCGTAGAGCCGACTTACCGCTGTTCTCGGAAAGTGCGCGCCCGTGTCTCCTTGTTTGTTTGTTTGTTTTGCTTGTTTGTTTGTTTGTTTGCTGTTGTGCGTGTGCGTGCGTGTTTGTGTGTTTCGAATCCGGCTGCGGTGAAGTGCTTCCGTACGGTTGCCCTCCCCGAACATTTTCGCTCTTCGTACACACCCGGTCTTCTTTATTTATTTATTTTTTCGCCAGGGTTGATTCACTTCGGAGTGTCGCGGAGCAGCCTTGATTGAATTTTACGTACGTCCCGGTGAAATCGAAACCGTTTTTTTTTTTTTAACTCTAAAAACAAAGAAAGAAACGGATGAACTGCCATCTGGAAAGTGGAACGAATGCGGAGCCAAAACAAGTGCATAAAAATGACGGCGCGTTGACCTCAGGCTTACCGCTTGATACTTATTTGATGGCTTTCTTTAAACAGTGATGATAACTCACAAAATTTTACGCTTTAAAACTACATGTGTATGAAAGACGCCGTAGTGTAGAGCTCCGGATATTTTGACCACCTAGACATTTTACCTCCGTTAGAATTTGGCAGCCACGGAAGAGATTTGATCCCGAGACCTGCGGGTCTGAAATAGTAAGATTCTGGTTTTACTCCTCTTGGTTACTTTTTTTTTTACTGCACTCATCTAAGAGATACCGTCTGCTGTTTTGCAACTTTCGTGCCTCCTCTGGTTCTGTGCATAGCCACTGACTGCTGCACCCATAATGATATGATTGGTTGATTGAATTATTGATTGATTTATTGACTAATTGATTGATTGTTTGCTTGATTGAATCATTGGTTGATTGATTGAATTATTGATTGACTAATTGATTGATTGATTGATTGATTGATTGATTGATTGATTGATTGATTGATTGATTGATTGATTGATTGATTGATTGTACGATGTACCTTAACTACTATGTTTTGACACGGTACTGTTTACGTGGTCACACCATATACGCGTTGCGCGTATGCCGTTTGTGTACTCCTCTGATGCCGCTGACGTCTTGACGCAGATGTCTGACGACGAGCGGCTGTCGCTGACGACGGCAGTGAGCGACGAGGACGAGACGGGCGAGCCGCGATCGGGCTCCCGCGCCGCCGGCGGTGGCGCGGCAGCGGCGGCCTCCTTCAACTGCACGGGTGCCGTGCGCAAGGCCGGATTCCTTAGCGTCAAGAAGTGGCTACTGCGCAGGAGACACCAGGCACGTCATCTACACTGCTCACGCAGAGTTATTCAACCCTGCTCACGCACAGCCCCTCATGGGCGGAAACGCGACAACCGATGCCTTCGCTAATAAACCGACAGGTGTATATGCGCACAATTGCTCAAGATGACCGCGTCATGTCGCTACAAAACTGGCCACTAAAGCTAAGGCTGGCCCTGACGGGGTACACTAAGTGACGCAGCGTACGGTGCGAAAATATGTTCTCTTTGTGGCGGCCTATATATGCAACGAAAACACGAAATCATTCTGTCGCACGTAAAGTCAGCAGTCAGCCTCATAACGTACACGAGCTCAGATACCTCTCCTCAAACTATAGCGATCAGCATAACTCTGTCGCCCGGCACGTTGGCCAGACATGTAAGCAAAATTCGTCAGGTGGAGAGATTAAATGAAATGAACGACTCGGAATTCTGTCTATTGCTTGAGTAACTTGAGCATCTTGCCGGTGCTTACCTATGCAGCAGAAACCTGGAGGATTATACAAAGAGGGTTCAGCTTAAATTAAGGGACAATGCAGCGAGCAGTGGAAAGCAAATTGGTAGGTGTAACCTCAAGAGACAAGAAGAGTGCAGAGTGAATCAGGGAACAAACCGGGGTGAAGTATATCATAGTTGAAATCAAGAAGAAGAAGTGGACATGGGCCGGGCATGTAACGCATAGGCAGGATAACCGCTGCTCTTTAAGGATAACTGACTGGATTTCCAGAGAAGGCAAGCGGGTTAGGGGACGCCAGAAAGTTGGGTGGGCATATGAGATCAGGAGGTTTGTGGGTATAAAGCTGCGGCAGCAAGCACAGGACCGAGTTTACTGGTGGATCATGGGAAAGGCCTTTGTCCTGCAGTGGACGTAGTCAGACTGATGACGACGATGATGAGGATGATGGTGATGATTGTTGGTCGTCTTTCAGGTGGAACTGGCTCGGAAGCGCGGCTGGAAAGGCTACTGGGTATGCCTGAAGGGCACGACGCTACTATTCTACCCGTGCGACAGCCGCGACGGTCGAGCCATCGACTCGACGCCTAAGCACCTCATCATCGTCGACGGCGCAGTGATGCAGCCCGTGCCCGAGCACCCCAAGAGGGACTACGTATTCTGCCTCAGCACGGCGTTTGGCGACGCCTACCTCTTCCAGGCGAGTTCGCACGTGCCGCTCCACTCTCTTTTTCTGTTCTTTCATCTCTCTTCATCAAAGCAGGGTAGCAAACCGGACGCGCGTCTCTTTGACCTCCCTGCTTTTCCCTCGTTTTCACCTCCTCAGCACAGTTACGAACTGCGAAGGAGTGAAACGTAATTCTGGAACACTGTTAGTCAACCTAACTATTATGCTGAAGGAAGACAATGTTTGTGTTACAACAGTAGATTTCTAACATTTCCAGTCACCTTTAGCCATGTTGAGCCAACATTAGGCAGCATTAGTCAACCTTACTCACCATTTAGCCAGTGTCACTCACGACAAACCGACATCAAAAACTAATCGCCCAAAACCAGCCAACATTAACCAGGAATATTCGGTGATGTTAGCGGAAAACTAAGTACAATAGTCAAATTCACGTGTGACCTAGTAATAAGGAACTGTTATACGGGCAGCATACATATGATATATATATACACTTACTGGTAAAGAGGGAGCGTCCTTCGGTGTCTCCTAGACGAACGATGATATTCCGTGGATCCCGGGAATGTCGAAAAGCCTATATGTACAGTATGGTCCACTGTTAAACGGAACACTCAAATGCTCACCATCAATATTCCTGGCCCTCTAAAAGCAAGTGTATTAAGAAACAATCTTCATGCAAGTCGATAGTCTGTCAAGAGGAGTCGGAACTTTTAGCCACCTTATGTATATCTAAGCCGCTATGATTCCTGAAGATAGCGAAATATAAACATGCTGCTTACGCAGGTGTTTCCTTTAACAGTGGACCCGTCTGTACATGCGAGTGTGCTGCTTACTGGTTTGTTTGTGTGCGCTCGTGTGTTTGTTTACCAGCGGTCGTCCCTGTTGTGCAGGCGCCGTGCCAGGTGGAGCTGGAGAACTGGATCAACAGCATTCATTCTGCCTGTGCCGCAGCATTCGCCAGGCATCGAGGTCGCACTGGGACGCTACATCTCCTACAGGAAGAGATCTTCAGGCTAGAGAAAGAAATTGAGTCGGTTAGTTAGAACCCCACGTTTCTATCATGGCTGTTGATCGCATACTCTAAAACAAAAAAGAAGAGGGGGGGGGGGGGTACTGTTAAACGGTGTCAATCACTTTTCACCGCTATCGGGCCTCATTCAAATCCAATTTCTTGATCGTAATTGACTTCCTTACGCAAGCTGCAGAAGGGATAGTCAATGTTGAGCAATACGATCAGCGTGGGTCTCCATCGCGATTAACAGTACACCATATGGCACCTGTATCGCTCTTTTCAGCGGCTCCCGAGTCGCCTCGTATAAAACTCATTAACACACTTCTCAGGTTCCACGACTCTGCGAAGAGAGTATACCGGTCACCAAAGAGAGTTCGGGTGTCTCTTACAAGAGACACTTAAAATCATGAGGGCGGCAAGCAGACCTCATATAAAAGAACCAAATGACCTTTCTTTTATTTTAGAGTGTACACAACTTTGTTTTCAACGCTTCTGCGAAGCAATTCGCCACATTGACGCGCCTCGATGCCCTCTTGACTCACAGGACGCGAAGCTGAAGCACATGGCCGAACTACAGTTGACCGTTGTGGTGGACCAGGAGTCCCGGCAGACTCTGTCGGACCAGATCGGACAATGGGAGGAGAACCTGGAGAGGCTACACTGCGAGCAGTTCCGTCTGCGCTGCTACATGGCCTCCCTGCAGGTCTCCGAACTGCCAAACCCAAAGGTGCGCGTGCGCCACACCGTGGCTTGCCTTGTGTGCACGAGAAAGATGTCGCGGAAAGTTCGGGCTGCGGTTGACGTAGACGCGAGTGGGTCAGGGTGCCTTGACGAGCGCGTTCTCTGTTTCAGTCACCCAATATCTGGCGAATGTCCCTAGAGATAAAACCGCTAAATACAAGTCTCATGACCGATTTGGTGGCTCTGTATATTCTAGTTTATCCGCATGCCACAAGATGGCACTTACAAAACGCCAGATATAGAGAAACTGTAGCAGTATCTCTATATGGATGGATGGATGGATGGATGTGGCTGTACCCTTTAGATCGGGCGGCGGCTAACGCCACCTAGCCGTAATACTTAGTGAACTAACCATTACATTTATCTTTTTTTTTTCCTTTAAATAATGAAGTTGAGGATTCGTACTTCGCAGTGAAGGGTTTAATTTTCACTCGTGCCTTGACTTTAGCCACCAACTCAGATAACCTCCTTCTAGTTAAGTCTACCCGCTTAAAGTCTATTTTGCCCTCGCTGTCCCTAAATCCTAGTGCTTTGAAAAACTCTGCGCGCCATCATTCTTAACTATAGGGTGGAAGGCCTTTACAGAACATTATCAAGTGTCGGCAGTTTCTTCTTCCCTCCACACGCACTGCATACTGTGTCTACCCTTTCGTATTTGGCCCGATATTTCTTGGTTCGCAGTACTCCCGTCCTGGCCTCAAACAGTAAGAACTACCCCGAGTATTATCATAGATCCTTTCCTTGGCAATCTCCAGCTTAAAAGTCGACAGATCTCTATGCGGACTTCTCAATCATGCCCATTCTCCACATGTCAGTCTCCGTTTACCTTCACTTTCTTCTTAACCGATTAGTTCTTTTTGGTTTGGCTACCTGCTGTTTTCTAAGTATTTACCAGTCAACTTCCTGGTTCGCTTCCTCCATTTTGTATCGACATTCTTCATGTACAAGTAGCTGAAACCTTCCTAGCCCAACGCTCTTCCCCCATTTCTCTCAATCGCTTCTCAAATTTTATCTTGCTGCTAGCTTCCCTGCCCTCAAATGATGTCCATCCCATATCACCTTGTACTCCCTGATTTGGTGCATTCCCGTGAGCTCCTAAAGCAAGCCTACCCATTCCACGTTGCTTAATTTCTAATCTTGCTTGGCGTGTTGTAAGCGCCATCTTGTGGCACGCAGATTAACTAGAATATACAGATCCACAAAATCGGTCATGAGACATATTTAGCCGTTTTTTTAATCTCCGTGGACGCGAACTGATAAGTAATTTTAAATAAATGTATCCTGTTGTACCAACATCTCCAAAGATGACTATTTCAGCGTAGATGCTGTGATGCACGTACTCTGCTGAACGATGGTTGCGTAAAACGAAATACGTCTACTGGGAAGATAGAGCGCTTTAATGGGCAGCAAAGCCCGAATAACAGAGATCACTGGTCGAAAGACAGTTCCATAATTGATCCACTCGTCCGGTGACCGTGTTCACTTCCTCCCTGTAGTCATATGGACGTAATCGTCCACCGTGTCCCGCAGAACCTTCTAACTCACGTGTCCAAGGCCACCAAGGCGACGCTGAACAAGCTGGGCGTGTTCACCGTCTCCTCGTTCCACGCGTACATCTGCGCGCGCAGCCCATCGCTTCTCACAAACCTGCTCTCGGGCCGGGGCGCCACCAAGCGGAGGTCGCGCGCTGCACTTTCCAGGTCCAACAGTTCCAAGTGAGTTGCACCTGTTTCACAACTGACTATATGCGAGTAGCGTGCCACGTATACACTTGAAGTATTATAGGGACAACGAAGGTACGTCAGTTAAGGAGGAACTCAATAAAGAATATAAATGATTTATTGGGCGAGTGCCGTCGGCGCAGATGCACTCATGTATTGTTTGATGTGATAATTCTAGCATGCTTTAAACATAACACGTACCATGAATTTCTAGAATATCAGTTAAATTAAAAGACAGATGATAAACGCAGAGTCAGTTAGGTTGCACAGGGTATAGATATATCATTTAGTATTTAATCTTTACCTCGTACACTCGTGCGTTTGTTTTAAACATTTTTAGCTCAAGATTTACAAGCCTTTTTTTCTGTTTATTCGTTTTCAATACGCCATCAGTTGTCGGTAAGCGCTCGTGTTTTCGCCTTGTCTTCTCTCGTCCGTGTGAATTCCTTTGTTCTTTCCGTCAATTCACAAACTTTCCCAGCCCCGCCGCGGTGGTCTAGTGGCTAAGGTACTCGGCTGCTGACCCGCAGGTCGCGGGTTCGATTCCCGGCTGCGGCGGCTGCATTTTCGATGGAGGCGGAAATGTTGTAGGCCCGTGTGCTCAGATTTGGGCGCACGTTAAAGAACCCCAGGTGGTCAAAATTTCCGGAGCCCTCCACTACGGCGTCTCTCATAATCATATAGTGGTTTTGGGACGTTAAACCCCACAAATCAATCAATCAACAAACTTTCCCAGGGGAGTATTCATTCAAATTAGCACAAGCTTTGGGACCAATAGGCAGGGCGGTGCTACACTGATTATGATAACGTCGAGTTGTCTATGAAGAAAACCTTTTTTGCATTCCTCTCTGCTTATGCCTTGCCCGTTTGTTCCAGAAGACTTCTAAGCATGCCTTCGTCCTCACTACAAAGCAGCCTAGACCTGCCTGCCTTAGGAGAAAAGAGCGTCAAGATCAACTTGCCAGATAATCAAGTAAGACTCCTTTTCACTACAGCGAGGGTCCGTTCACTTCACCTGCACCAGTCGGAACCGGTTCACGGTGGTGCTCGCGAAGTTCACAAATTGTGCAACGCGAGTTCAGCGATGCAGTCACTGTGCGAGACCAGAAAAAAAAATGAACGACAGTGTACAGACCTTATTTATGTTTTCTTAATTTACGCACTTCACTAACATTTACCGCGATGGCAAACCGCACATGTGGACAGTTTATGGGGCGCGAACGCCTTGGCAATACACACCGCCTAAATGCTACGTCATCTGCTGTGCTGCGTACGTCATCTGCTGTGCTGCGTACGTCATCTGCTGTGCTGCGCACGTCATCTGCTGTGCTGTGTACGTCATCTGCTGTGCTGCGTACGTCATCTGCTGTGATGCGTACGTCATCTGCTGTGCTGCGTACGCCAGCTCGCGGCTGCGCAAAGCTGGCACCGTCAGCGTAGGAGGTGCATTAAAATCGTGAACTGGTGCTGCCCCTCTCAAGCGGATTCCGGATTTAAAAAAAAAATGTATCCTGGAAAAAAATGTTCCCATTTGCGTTGTGGGAAAAAACGTCCCCGTGACACGGACACTGTCGAACGTTGCGCCTTCCAGTCGCCAATTCTTTATTTCTCGAAGAAAATAAAATAAAATATGTGCGCGAAGATTGCAGTTTACTGAAAGATTATTGACGAAGCACCGTAATGACATACCAACTGTCCCAACTTATCTGTATAAGGGTAATGTGAGATGCAATATCACATACCATGCGCATTTCAGATAAACGCAATCTATAGCTATGCACGTGCCTAAAAAAGACAACAGGGGTGGCAGTTCAGCGGCCATGCATTTCATCCCGAGGCAGCAGCTTCGTCGCACCATCACTCTGCAGTTAAGTGCACGCTCTCGGGAGCTCAATCTACACTTGCTCTGTGGTGTACTTTACTGTATACTTATTTGTGGAATCGAGATAATGAAATCAAACAAAGGAGACAGAAATTTATGCTTGGGCTGTTATATATGAAGACAAAAAGGTAATGCCGCTGGCGTTGTGCTAAACGTAATGGGTGAAAAAAATATTTTAATTAGTGTCGAATAAAGGTCTTAGTTTATCAGTTTCTCGTTTGATTTTGACTTGGGGACCTTTTTTTCCTAGACAGCCATGGTACATGGGCCATTTCTTCCGAAGACGTATATTCCGGGGACGTTTTTGCACACACCCCTCTCTATCACCCTTTGAAACCAATGGCGTGGTTCAGGGGTGGTCATTGCTGAACCGCTGAAACGAATGGCAAAGTGCAGCACTTCTCGAAATTGTTCATGGGGAGCAGGCGAATCGAACGGACCCCGAGTACTTGGCGAAAAGATAACAGTTCGGTTCTTTCCTCAACTCGACGCTTTTACCCGATTGCAGGCCGTAATAGTAGGAGTTCGGGACAACATGACCGTCGAAGAAGTGCTCTGGGTGGCCTGCAGCCGAAGGCAGTTGTCGCCCAACGACCACTTCCTACGCTTCCACAGGAGGAAAGACATGGACGACTGCTACGTGGCGGCGCGAACCGAACTATTCGACAACTTGGTGAGTGCCACTGCAGCGGTCCGTTAAGAAAATCACTTTCGCCACAAGGGCGAAGCAGTGAATGCGATAACAACAAATTGGAATGCTATAACATGTTGTGCTATCAGGTAACTTTTTTGGACCCGATTTTTCCGAGGGAGGCAGAAATGTTGGAAGCCCGTGTGCTCAGATTTGGGTGCGCGTTAAAGAACCCCATGGAGGTGGTCGAAATTTCCAGAGCCCTCCACTACGGCGTCTCTCAAAATCAAATTGTGTTTTGGGACGTTAAACCCCACGTACCAATCAATCAATTGGTCAATCAATCAATCAATTAATCAATCCTTTGGACCCGATCTCGCGTAACTCTGCAAAACACTGGTTTAAAGGAATTCGCGCTCTAGAAAAGCGGCTTTCGTGCTGTCTCGTCTCAACTCGAAGTACGGTTAAGCGAAAGGCAGGGAGAAGATTCTCGAAGATTTCCGCTTTGCTGCACTGCACTGGGGAAGGAAAAGCGGGGAAGGGGATAGACAAATAAGGAAGGGGGAAAAAAGAATGGGTAAAAAAAAGTGTCTCGCTGCAAGAGCGAAGCAATGAATGCGATAGCAACAACTTGAAATATAACACTGAGAACGGCTTGCAGATCTAAACGTGCAGCACGCTGCTCACGCACAAATGAAGCACGAAAAAACACACACACACACACACACACACACACAGGACGAGAGCTAACTAAGAACGTTTACAGCTCAAGGCTTAGTGCGCTGTTTAAACAAAAACGACGCACGAAACGTAATCACAGGTACAGATATCAGATATCAGTGCGAACTAACGAGTGTCACAGTTGTTCGCTGTGTTTAAAAAGCGCGCTCTTTTCTCAAACGGGGCCTGCCCAGCGAGCGAAGGGACCTTTATGGCGCAGGCAACTGACATAATCGTTCCGGTGAAATGCCAAGGCACACATTTCTCCCCACCGAAGAATAAGCGTGCGCGCACAAGCAACTAACCCCCGCCCCCATCCGCGGGGCAAAGTATATACGCGTGGGAGATAAGCGCGCGTTGGTGCATCGCGACGAGTTGAATGCCGAGCGCGGGCGGATTTTTTTTTTTTAAGGACGATAGTCTTTCTTGGGTCACGACGCAAAAATTTTTGTCTGTCTGTTTGTACATTCGTCTGTTTGTCCACCGTAACGATAGCCTAAATAGCTCTGAACGGAACTCCAAACGGCCAACCCCATCAGCAGCACCCACCAATATTGCCGAAGTTTATCAGCGTTCATACTTGTGTGACTGTCAATTAAAAAGCAATTATTGCGCTTTTCTGAGGCACCATAACGGCATGTCAATATTTTGTATGTGTGTCTTTACACAAGAAAAGGCATACATAAGTAATTCTAGGGACTGTATCGTTTGTTGGGACGTTAAACCCCAGATATCAATCAAGGACTGTAGCATTTATCACGCTGCGCTGACAATGTAAATCTATGCTCAAAAAGGCAAAAGGGTTTTGCAACGCTATCCTAAGACGACGCGGTGGTGGAACCTCCCCGTCGCATTGTGTTCTACACCTCATCGCCTCCGAAATAGGCGCGCATGCCTTCCTTTGTTTTTGAAGATAACTGCCAGATAGCGCTTGTGTCTAACGTGTCTCAATGCGCTCGTTCGCGTTCGCCGCACGGATCGAGACACTCTAACGCAGCGCCTCCAGAATACAATTCATTGATTTTTTTTTGTGTAGAACATCAAATAAACGTTTTGTTCACTTTTTCCAGACGCAAGACTATCGTATTTCGACGACATTTGCAGTGAAACGTGCAGATATGGGGCTCATTTTTTTAAAGACCATAGTCTGTATTGAGCACCTTCGACAGAAAAAGTTTGGTGTCTGTACATTTTAGGGGCGAAGCTCCTTAGGGCGTGGGCTGTGCGTCCCCTGTATGTAGCCACCTCTAGTTTAGTTCTTGCAGTGTTCACTAGATGGCGGTACCGTCCCCTGTATGTAGCCACCTCTAGTTTAGTTCTTGCAGTGTTCACTAGATGGCGGTACCGTCTCCTGTATGTAGCCACCTCTCGTTTAGTTCTTGTAGTGTTTACTAGATGGTGGTACTTGTAGCTGATGATGAAAAGATGCAAGATGTTACAAACTAGAAAGCGGTACTTGTAGTTGATGAAAGACGCGAGATCTTATAAAATAGGAATGATGTCACATATGGCGCGTGTCATTGGTTGAAGGCAATCGTTCGATTTAGTGCGGCGACGTACGCTAGGGGGAGCGATGTAATAAAATCGAGTGGGCAAAATGTACGGAGGATTCATGGTTTACCAGGTTTACCTCCGGAGCTTCGCCCACTCATCATCATTCACTTCGTGGATATGGCGGCACTTTTTTTCTGTTTTTCTGCTCTTAACGGTACCTTAAATGGCATCGAAGTGGCCTAACGATACTCCAAACGGCGGACCCCATGCGCAGCGCCCACCAGTATTGATCAAGATTCAGCGTTCACACTTGCACGATTGTCAATTAAAGAACAAATATTGCGCATATCTGAGGCATCATAACAGCACATCAATATTCTGTATGTGTGTCTCTTACTAGAAAAGGCATACATAAGTCATTCTAAGGACCATAGCGTTTATCACGTTGCGCCGACCATGCAACGCTTGCACGAAAAAGCAAGTGTTTCCAACGCTTTGCTAAGACGACACGGTGGTGGCACCTACCCGTCGCCTTGCGTTCTACACCTTATCACCTCCGAGACGGGCGCGCAGGGCGCGCGCGCTTCGTTTTTCAAGATAACTGCCAGATAGCGCTCATGTCTCACGTGTGACGTGACTTGATGCGCTCGTTCGCCTCCGCTGCACGCTCGAGGCACTCCAACGCAGTACCTTCGTCTTTCGTCGACATTTGCAGTGTAACATGCAGATACGGTGCCAATTTTTTTCTTGAGTTTTCCTATACATAGATACGTATACGGTGCATGACGTTGGCGGTGGCGGTGACGGCAAAAACAAGCCGAGGCTGCCCATATAATTGCAATTTAAATAAAACAGAAAACGTGAGCACACTCAAGCACGGGAGTGTCACAGTCATTTTGCGGGTTCGGTTGACCGCAGAACCTTCAGCAGCGTCTTCGTCGCTATTTGGCTAGAAGCTCGAACGTTCCGGCACTTCAAAATTGGCTGCTCCGAAAGCGGCTGGTCATCGAGCCGTGCTAAGGTTCCCGATAGCTGTTGTCTGCGGAAGCTGTACTGAGCACAATGACAAAGGACGTGTGCAATAGTTTCATCACTGACATGGTGATCACTGATCACACGCAGCGCTGTCTGCCATTCCGATTCGGTGAGCAAAGCTGTTTGTGAACGACACTCCAAGGCATCCAAGGCACAAATGGCAGAGGACGGTTGTTTCAGATCCGGATAGTCCGATTGGAACTTGAAGTCACGGATCCAGTCGGGTAAGGTGGCTATGTAGAAAACCGGTCGTGTTCCACATTGAATGTGTTGTGTCACGTGCGAATCAAGAGCGCAGCGCGTACAAACGAGCCATCTATGCTTATAACAGAATAGAAAGTTGGGCGAGTTGGTGTGTATTCATATTTAAAAAAAAAGCGGCGCACAAAAAGACAGAGACAAAGAAGAGAACCACACACAGCGCTGCCACACACAGCGCTGTGTGTGGTTCTCTTCTTTGTCTCTGTCTTTTTGTGCGCCGCTTTTCTTTTGATATATCTATGCTTATGTCTGTCGGAATAGCGCGCGCGCCTACGCTAGCTATCGCACTCAAAGATCAAGATTTGGATATACTTTTGGTCGACAGAGTTGGCGGTTCGAAATCAAATGAAGTCTACAGTTTCGTAGATGACTCTCGTTGTACTCAGGAGCGTTGCGGCGTGCCTTGAAGCAGATATGAACAATGTTATGGACGCGTTCAAACGCTCACTTCAGCCGCTCTTTATGACCCATGAAGTGCCTTTTATTGCCTTGAAAATCAATGAGCTTCACGATTTAGAATGTACGCATGGTGCAGTCATGTAGCGCGTGCTTTGCATCCACATTTGCTGATGCAATGGGGTTGATATGCGTATGAAAAGTTTTTGACCACTTGACGTTTTGCTTGTACATGTGCTGTTGACAAGAGTTCGCACGAGTGAACGCTGCCCCGTGATTGCATGTCTTTTAAGATCTTTGGTTTCATGTTTTTTTTCTACATTTCCTTTGCCTTCTGGTGGTTGTACCCATATATTTGGTGTTACGACGCATTAAAATCTTAGTTGGAAATAGCGCTTGTCACGTGTTCTTTGTCCCCGATGTGTTCATATCGTGCTTTTAGAAGCTCTAAATTAGCTTAGCCGTCTCCCCTTTTCTGGCGCCATTTTTTAAGGGTGAAAGCTATTGGCCCTGTATACGGTATTTCATCACATACGAGCGGCACATGCTAACGCCGCGACTTCCGTGGGATAATTCAGGCTAACATCTTATGCGGGTAATCTGGTAATAATCTGATATGCGGTGTAATCTGGTTAGATTTACAATCTGGTCCCGTATGAAGTGCTATCTATAGCGAGGAAGCTAGACGAAAATGTTCAGTGCCCTGTCTATATAGAGCACTTGTGAAGAACAGACGACGACGAATCACGCAAGCACCAGCGTCAGATAGCAGCACTAGGCTCGAGCTCGCACTAGCCCGGATTTCTGCTACTCGACGCCCGCCGCTCTTCGAAGCCCCACCTTTAACATTTATTGAGGTTCCCTGACGTCCAGCATCAATAAATCACGTCACACACTTCATGTAGGGTATAATTAGAAGCTAAGTGCTGGCTTTCGTAACTGCAAAATTGTCTTCATTAAACTTTTAGTACAATAATGATCTGACAAATACGTGAGTGACAACCTGAACTTCAAAAAAAAAACGAAAGTTAAGCACCAGCTGGCAGAATTCAGCTATCTCTTTTTCATTACCGAGTGTTTGTCCGCCTGTAGGCATACCAAAGTCGATCTCTCGCAGACTTTCGAGAGTCTGGAGGTCTGCGCCAAGGTGCTGTACCAAGTGGGGCTTTCCCGGAGTTCCCTAGACCAGCTGTTCGGCTTCAGCGTGGAAGCCGAGCTGGTTGAGAACACAGATCACCAGGACGAGCTATGTGTTTACGTAAGCAGGGTGGAGGAAGGCAGCCTGGCACATCAACAGGGTGAGCGACACTGAGCTGTATACGTCAGCGGCATTGACTGGATCGTATTGATCAGTCCTGCATCGATAGGGAGCACCAGTTGATTCGTCCTCGTCCCGCAGGGCTCATGAAGGGCGACGAGATCATGGTGATCAACGGGGCCATCGTGAGCGACCTGGACATGATGTACATCGAGTGCGTGCTGCAGGAGGAGCTCTCGCTCTGCATGATGATGCGCTCGTCACGCACCGAGCCGCCGGACTTGGCGAGTGCCATGCGCACCACGGACGACTACATCGAATCCCTGGTCTGCCCGCCGCCGCCCAGCGACAGCGTGCTCAGCGACGAGATGATCGGAAAGCTGATCGTGCCCTCGCCCATCTGGGGTAAGCCTTTTGTTTTGGGACGTGGCGTGATTGTTACCTCACTAATCCTCCATGAATTTACGCGTATTCGCTCCTGAAGGGTGTTTCGTCCAGGTGTCCAAGCCGGAAACAAGAGGGCAGCAGTAGTACGGCCATGTGAATGAAAGAGTGGTCGAACCATTAAACATTCACAATCTGGTTGACGAATCTGTAGGAGTTGTGTTCGAGTTGAACAGCTCTGTATTTAAGACTACAGTCTTGGGTTGTCACTGACTTGGTCCTTACTTAAAATATGGCACATACCACTATGATCTGGGAAGGATAAAGTTCAGACTAATAAACATGATGACCACCGCTTTGATAACCTTCAGAAGACAAAGGTGAAAAGAGTTTAGTAAGGACGTGAGCGCTGAGAGTGGCAGCTAGATGCACACATTACGCCCACTCGCAACCGCGAGGGTTCTGCAAGAAGTTGGCCGTCGCGCTGCGTGTGCAGTTTTCACGTTGATGTGTCTCGAAACGAATCGGATGGGTACTGACGGCGCGGCCGTCGCAGGTTCTCAAGAGCGATCTCCGGACACGTCGGGCCGACCGACGCCGTCGCCGGTGCCACCTCAGGACCAGTCCGGCCTCTCTTGCGACCAGATAGAAAGCTTGCTCAAGGTCATCGAGGACTCTTGTAAAAAGGTACTCGCGCCGGCTTTTCCTTTGGCGCTCTCACACGAATACGCAAGTCGAGCTAAAGCACAAATCACAAAGCGATGCACAAGATAGCGGCGACCACAGTCGTGGAAATCTGTCCGCTTGTTCAAGTCTGTCGGCTGTTTCAGATGCTACATTCAGGTGCGATCGCTGGGGCTAGCGTAAACGTTTCAGAATGTGCGCCATGAATTATTCGCTGCGATCTGAATGCAATCTGTAGAAATTATTTTGCTATATAATGGGCGATAATTATTGCGAAAGCTTTTTACACGCATAGGCACACTCTCGCGCCTAGTGACAGTAATAACAAACAAACTAACAAATTGGTACCGCAATCTATTGATATGAGCACTAGCTACCCAACTCCTCCTTGTTTTCTCTCCTTGCAATCGGCTTATCACAAGCTAAAAGACTTACGCTTGTTATCGGTCGGTGCAAGCCGCACCTGAGTGCACCGCAACCTTTTTCGCGTGTTTGCAATAGTTCTAAGCAGATAGCGTGCAAACCGACGCGAATAGCCGAGTTCGATTTTCGAACTTACGTGGGTGCCATCCACGGAGTCCACGAGTGCTAGAATAGTGAACTTTCGAACCAAATCGAATACCTATATAATAGCGATGACGTCGAATCGAGCATCGTTCTAGCTGTTTTGTAATAGCGAGGCAACCATTTTCGAAGGAGCCCAAGCATTTGAGTGCTTTACTTGAAACGCAGCATAGCACGTACAGCACCCAAAATAGTTGTTCGTAAGGTTTCATCAAGATGAGTAGCCCTTGAAAACAATGTTTCTGTGTTGCGCAGCGATCGAGGCTCAATCTTTGCCGGTCACGCTGCCGCATTCCTCGTCGTAACGATCATGTGCAGCAGTTTGAACTTGAAACCCCGAATTCGTGAACGCAGACCGCCGAGCAGGTGACCGAGTACTGCCGCGTGCCCGTGGAGCGGAGGCGGTCCAGCTTGGCCAGCGGGCTGCCCGCGGTCGCGGCTGCCCAGCAACCGGCACAGCCACCGCTGGTGGCGGCCGGCGCGGTGCCTGGAGCCGCCTCGGTCGGCCAGGCGAGCAAGCATATGTCTGACGTGGAGAGGCTGCGCAAGGTCATCCTCGAGCTGGTGGACACCGAGAGGACGTACGTCAAGGTACGCGCACTTCTACCGGTACAGCGAGGGATGCCCAACTCGCTTCCTGCGCCTTTTCATTGTTCTCTTAATGCCATACGGCATCAGTATATAGTGTCCATGTGGGAAATGGCTTTATTTAAGTGCAACCGTCGTGAAATGGGCTCGAAATAGATGTGTTGCCGCAAAGGTGTGCGCAGGGTTCTTCGATGGGGGCAGGGGGGAGGGGGGAGTGCAAGGTCCACCGCAGCGCCTGAAGTGGCGCAAACTGAAGTGACGTGACCGTAGTCAAAAGGGGGAAAAAAGGAAGAAAGAAGAACCTGCCCAATGTTCGGCAAATCGTAAAAAGTGTTTCCTGTGTGCGTCTCTTCCGCATTTGTGGCTAAATGATTTTCAAAAATAATAACACAAAACATAATTCCATGCCAAATATGGAGCTCATTCAGGCGATAAAGTACGCTGTTTTAGTTATGACAAACGGAATGCGAAAGAAACGCCACTTAATTACTGAGGGCGTAGAACAAAAAAAACAGACATAGATAGAGTATTTCTTTCTGCGTCTTCGCGGGTCGCACTTACTCACTCTGTCATGGATGCTGATCAACTAGCCCTTTAACGTATTTTGGGAATACTGAAATCGGAAAGTGGGGTGGGAATAAAGAGATGCGCAGGACAATGCATGACTGACATGTGAAATATAATGCGAATGTAGGTGCGCTAAGGCCTTCTTATGAAGGTGCTGCTCATGTTACCTATACGCTTGATAAACAATGGTTGTCAAGTGTTTAGCCGTTAAAGAGTCTGTGAACAGGTCTGGTCCGTATCGTCAGGGTACCTTAGTCTCTCGTGAGTCATTTGACTATTATTAGGGCGGGTAGCAAACATTTGCTGCAAAATAGGAGGGCACATCACACAGTGAAGTGCCTCAAGTGAAGCACTGCAAGCACTTCACTGGTAAAGAAATCTACTGATAATTTAGACTAAACTGAGTTTTCAGCTGCTTCTAGGCTATGACTTTCATCTCCTGAATGCTTTTTATGCTCGAAAGAGTCAACTGAACGCGCAAAGACACCGATACACTATAAACTGCGATGTTGACCTCTGCAAAAGCTGGAACTAAATTTGCTTATCAAAAGGGACCAACAGGGCAAGCTACACAACGTCTCTTTAGTCAGGTAAAATATTCTTTCATATGTCTGCTTATCCTTTTATTAACGGACGAAAAGAATGAAAAGCAAATTTGATGCTTTGACTTCAATGCCTCTACGTTACTGAAACGTCAAACTGATTTTGAGTCCTTAATGTCTGAGTGAATAACGTGAACTAAGAAATAAACAGGCACATAATTAGATGTGCTTTTAAAAGGCACCGATACATGCTAAACCACGATGTTGACCCCGGACAAAGCTGTAACTTTGCTTATTCTGTTTGCCTGTGTGTCTGTGTGCGCTTTTGTTCTTCGTACGATGTTTTTCAAACAACCTATACTCAGTATAAACACGAACCAAATAGATCAACTTTATTTCTAGAGTGACGTTCACGAAGTCATGTGTGTTCGTTTTTGTGCACGGACAGTCTTGGATGCAGAAACAAGTCGCGCACGCATACTATTCAAGTCATTTCTAGCACAACGCAGTGCCGCGTTCCTTCGTCAAGTTTTGTTAGCGCCCCGTTACACTGTACGTGATTCTCAGCGCAAACCGCGCCTGCAGTGTTCGAGAAGCTTCAGGAGTGTAGTAGTTTGATTATTTCGTTAATATTACGCCCACTTCGCAAACATTACAGATTATTCGGGAACCTACGTGGCCACTAGCGGTAACGCTAGAATATTCGACGGCACGTGTATAAATGCCGACGAGCTTCGCCGCTTATCAGTTGATCGACGGCCGACGCTCCGTTCGCCGCTATCAGTGCAAGTCTGCCACTGTAATTTGAGTTTCCGTTTATCGGGCACAGGTTCGCCCAAATAAGCAGTTTGGTCTCAGCAGTCTCCTGCCTTCGGACACGTCCCCACCTTGTGACATATGCAGTTTTAAACTATTTCTAATTTACCTAGAAGCCTTCTGCGCTAAGCATAATTGACAGCGTACCTATACGAAGAGGCGTTTGCGTGTTGTACTTGCACTGTGTCAGCGTACACAAAATACAATGACCTCAAAAATAAAGGAACATTTTGGCTTCACTTTGCCGCAGCATATGGCAAGCAAGATATCTTCCGCAACTTAGTATTTATTGCAGTGTGTTTGTAATGTATTAGACCTATGTAGGGTTTCAGTACCCCATGAATCAAAAGACCCATCAGAACTTTCGCCGACTGTTCGCACATCTTACCGCTGTTGTTTTTTTTTTTACCTCACCATGGAGAAGTTCGTTATTTAACAGCTCTAAGAAGAGAAGCTTGTCACGGCATTCATATAACTAGAGGACACGTTTTAAGTTCATTTGTTTCATTATTACGCCTTCTCATTTCATTGCATTGTCATTCATGACTGATGCTGCCAAAGCAAAAGATGCTTGTTTGAGTCAGTCAGTGAACACTAAAGTATGAATGCGATAGATAATTATTCGGAATGTTAATCCGGAAATCTTGATGTTCAGTAATCGGTGATGAATTATCACGATGTGTTTATGTGGTTCTACTTTATAAATGACTTTGCTTAGTTATGCCTGCCCAGGACATATTGAAGTCGCCATAATTTGACTTGCTATACGCACAAAACTCGTCAATGTGCTCTATCTACGCAAATAATTAAATGTTTTCTTTATTGCGCGTCACCGTTGACAGTTGAGCAGTTTATCCTGCGTTGCCGCTTGTGAAGGATGTACGCGTAGAATTGAATCTTAATCTGTCGCCAATTTGATTGTGCTCAGATAATTTCATGGTCTATAGTAGACTGTAGTAAAGTTTTTCAGTACCCTATAGTAGACACATGTAAAATCTCATCCGCGCCTGTCATGCTCAAAAATGCTCCAGTTCACGTGTAGGAACAATCTTAAAACGTTCCATTAGGCAGCATAATTTTAATACACCAGCGTTTGCAGTATGACATGACTCTATGGGCGTGAGGTATAGTTAGATAATTGTAAATGAAGGATAAGTTATGTGAATTGAAGTAGTGCAAACGTTCTGATTGGAAGTGTATGCCGGAACAAGCATAGTTAGGCTGCTAGTGGTCTGGTGAAGACAGGAAGTGCGATCGGAAGGGGAATGGATACCAATGTGGATACCCAGAAGCCAAGTGACTGGAATGAATGGTGAATTACGTAGCAGTGATTAGGTAGCCACATAACTAGTTGGGCCAGTTGGATTACGGTCATTATTGGAAACTTTGTAAGCACTCCGAAAAACAGACGGACAGAAGGGGTTGACAAGGACAGTGCTTGGCAGAGCTGTCCTTGGCAGCCTCTTCAACAAATTTTTTGACAGCGCTTTACTAGGACAATTAGGTGCCCTAGAGTCTCATGGCAGAGCTTGGAGGCGGCATCAAGGGCAAAAATATGTAGAGTTGTTTGAAGTGGCATGACAAAGGTCTGGAAAGATGTCCTAAATGATGTGCGAATCTAAACAGATACCAACGTGATTTAAATGCATTCGTCAGGATTCGTCAGAACGCTTAAATTCACGCCAAATGTAAGACCTGTTTAGTTAGTGCTAGGCTCTTAATTGCGCCGTTAATTTTCGACGTCTCTTTATACATTGCTGTCTTACTTCGAGGAACCTAAACATCACGCAGTTTTTGCAGCTTTTTGTGCTTCATTCTTTTCGCACACAACTGTCATTTGATGGAAATGTACTTTCATGTTTTATCAATCACAAGTTATGTGAATGATAAGATAAGATTGGAAGACACGCTGTGTGGACAGTTTTTGGGATGAACACACACATGCACCGTTTTTCCTTGAATGCGATGAAATTATACCGTACAATCGCCAACCTTTCTTTATCTTTTTTCTATGTCGCCACGGGCATAACTGACTGCCTGGTGCCGGATGTAGTGTGTTTGCCAAGTATAGATGCGCCGATTCTAATACCGGTCCTCTAAAGGATCGCATGTAATCGTTTTGATACCACGGAAAGACCAAGGATAACAATGCCAGCGCGTTTTGTTCACTCGTGATCTTTGCCTGTCGAAGAGCAGTCGCTGTAATTATGAACCACTACTTGACACTGTACATGTCCTCTGAGATTCAGAGGGCGCCTCGCTGAGCCTACAGCATCGATTATTTCAGTATGTTTTTCGAAAATGGGGTCGAATCCACGCAAATACTTTGCTGTCGAAGCTTAAGGACGTGAATCTAAAGCAAATAACAGCCCCAGTGCGTAGCTAACGAGCTACAGAGTACAGTAAGGTAATTAAGTAAAGTAAGTAAGCAAAGTAAGTAAGTGAGCAAAGTAAGTAAGTAAGCAAACTAAGTAAGTAAGCAAAGTAAGTAAAGTAAGTTACGTTACTAAGTAAAGTAAGTAAGTAAACCAGGTGTTCCTAATCCTTTTTGGCACAGGGCAGGCGCTCACAGCGTCACAGGACAAAATGTTGTGCGCTCAAACGCGCACAACATTTGTTGCTTATTCTCCATAGCTGGTGCCACTTGACGCCAGCGGCGGTGCATGTTATTCGGCACTACGCGGCGCTTTTGCGATATGCGCTACCGGACAGACTGAAAAAAAAAATGCTTTTGCACTCCCGTGGCAGAGTCCTGAAAAAAGGTGCTGCTTCTTTGTTCGCCGGTTGTTGACACGTCTACTGGTGATCGGTGACAGGCTTAATCAAGTCGCCTGTAAAAAACAGAGCGTGGCTTCGCCGCGTATCTATAGGTACTAGCGAGGCAAGATGGCGGACCTATGTGCAACAATGCTCCCGTAGAGAGCATATACAGTCACTCTAGGGCGTGCTAGATTGCGGGGCGGCATCCTTTGGCGATCGCGGTAACTATGCAACTCGCGATGCTCAATTCAGCCAAATGGCCGTGGACTTATGTTCAGGGCGCCGTCATTCGGTTTCATGGCATTATTTGTCGAGAGGAGTGGGAACGATTGCTCGCCGACTGAGAATTGGTTTCAAATTCCAGGTTGCGTTTTGCGCTATAATGTTTGGCTTCCGCATTTGCTAGAGCCTCAACAACCAACCGGCGGTGTTTTCCGACCACAGTGAAAAAGTTTTGTCGGGCCCTGTAATGACGTCCAGTCTAAAGTAAGTCTTTGTATAGCCAGGAAACTAGACGAAATAAGGTCTGGCTTCCTGGGTTTATCTGGCACTTTACCCAGGATTTAATAGTGTATGTTCTACTACGATTAGAATGCCATGGAGCTGAGCTAGTTCGTAAGTATTAATGTTAAAAGTTGGCGTGCAAACAAAGGCGCAATAGAGAATTCATACCATCAAGACACCACAAACAGTCGTTTAACATGAGTCAATATGCCTCGGCTGCAATATATAGATACTTAAGTGAGCGTTTGTAAAACTGTTGCTGTTCTCTTCTTTTTTTTTGTCTACTGATTGACGAATCGGTGCACAACGAATCTTGCTCGTGTTCCACCCATGATGAACGCGAAAACACCCGGGTTTTTTCGCGGGATTTTCTAGAAAACATACTTTTGAGGCCCAGTTTCCACTCAGTGTCTAACAAGTCTAAGCGTCTCTGCTGTCAACCTTTTTTTGATAACAGAGACACATATTTAGAGAATATCGGATTTGATACACTACGCTGTCATGAACGTGACAATTAAGAAGCATCACAACGAAAAAAAAAGACCCCGGTTTTTTCTCGTAACCAGCCGCTCTTCAGCTGGTTTCTTCCTCGCCCTTTTTGACCAACCCCCTTTCAACATAATTTTTTACTAGATTTTGCAAGCGGAATGTCAGTCATGACGTTTCGCCATTCCCATTTTTATGACGCAGCACATGAGCGAGCTGGTTGAGTGGTATGTGGCGGCTTTGCAAAAGGTAAATCTCACTCGTTCATCATCACTGTTTGTTTCTGTATTTTTTTTCTTCTTTTTTTACACCAGTTTCTCATAGCATTCGTTTCTGGTGTATTTCTTCATCGTTTTTTTTCCCCTTCTCGACGTATTTTGTTTTTAGTTTGTTCTTCGAATCAACGCACACCGAGAATTTTTTGCGGCACTAGCGAATGCTGATTTCTTCGATGCATCCGAGCGAAGGTCGAAAGGCTACTACACTTTGGTTTAGTTCCTTTTTTGTCGAATGCATGCTTCAAAACAATCGCTTGCCTTACGTTCGCTGCATTCTCAGCTTGTTCCAACAGCTTTCTTTGCATGTGTTTTTTTTTCTTGTTTCTTGACAACGCAATAGGTGGTGGCCTTGCAGATGGAACAGCGAGCAGCCTGGTCGTTCGTTTTTGTTTTTGTTTCATTTGGCCCGACGTCTCGTGGAAACGTACTGACCAAATGAATGTGACACAGTATACTGCATGTTGTGCTCATTTACTTGCCTGTTTAAACCACAAGGTCTCGTTACTAGGCCTAGTCGCCTGATAAAGAGACCGGTAGCTTCGACGCTATGTGCTCTGGTGACGTTTTCTGTGCGTGTGCCCTTATAAAGAGCGTCGTAGTCCAAAGAGGTTTTACCTCGTGAGCTGTTCTTTCTGTTCTCATTTTTAGCATTTTTCTGTTTTCTACGAATGGCAAGCAGCAAATTACAGTCCGTACTTTTAGAAGAATACCGGCATATCATTACGACAAGTTAAAATTTTCTTTAGGAATCGCTTAGCTAGATTTGTTGTTTTTGTTTGGTCTTGGTCTTAATATTCATTACAAGTCGGCTTGCGCACTTCCTGAGTGATTACGACGCCACACTTTTACGCGATTCTGGGGTACCAGAACTGTCATGTCGGCTACTTAAAAGTGTAGGTGCAGGTACAGTATTCATTAACGACAAGTGTTCATTACATTTCGTTAAAAACGGGCAACGTTACTTCTCAGCGGCAGACTTTATATGACAGCGTATCGTAAGGCTTAGTGTCATTAATATGAGAACGTAAAGACCAACGAGGGAGTGTTGTTTTGTTTAGCAAAGCACAATTCATGCGAATATCCTCGTCGGTATTCATAAATTTCGTTTCTAAAATCTGTCTCACGTCACGAAGCCGTTCGTTATAGGTATGTGCAAATATGTCAGGCGCGTTCACAGCGAAGCCTGAAAAGCATAGACGTCGCAAATTGAACGTTGTATTCATTTTGTCCGAGCTAGCATCAGTGTTCAATTTCTTTATTGCTTTTTTTTTGTTTGCTTGAGCTTAGGGTCAGACGTTGCAGTCCCATGTGTGCATGCATGTTTAACTATTGTCCCCTTTTCGGAATAACCTGCAGTGAAGTATGTTTCCTGTTAACTTGTTAATATGGAGACATTGTCATATCAATTAAATTGGAGAGCTCCAGCTACTTAGAAGACTGCATTCATTTGTGCTTGTAAAGATTGCGTTGCGAATGTGTAATTAAACTGTCTTATCTCAAACGAGTGCCCTAAGTTAACGGCAGTTATTTCCAAGAGCCGTGCTGCGTACTACATGAGAGCTACGCTCAAGTTCACCGTCCCTCGAAAAGCGGCACAAAAACACCATTTTCGGCACTTTCTTTCAGCGGAAACCCCCTAGTACTAATGAAGTGAGCAAGGTGAGTGGACATTCGAAATTCAGCATGCCCGTATTGTACATGCTGAATGCATGAACCGCATTTACAACACTGTTCGAAGCACCTTGCGTCGTCACCGAACATGCTGGACAGTGCAGTTCTCCGAAGATTTGTGGTAAAATTGGGCAAACCGGCGAAGTACATCTTGGAGTTAGACAGGGGTGTAACAGCGCATGCACATTCGCTATTTATATACATCGTTTTAAGAGCCCGCTGCCAAAACTTAGCCAACTTTATTCAACACTTGACACTATCCAGTGGAGGTATCGCACGAGTGCATACTGCACGGTTCTTTCTGTATGGTGCATACTGTTTAAAGATCAGTTAATGTTGTAATGTATATTTCACCTCGAACATTTCGTATGATTGTTAGATTTCCTGTAAGACGTCACTATAGTTACTTTTTTCGCAATTCTTGCTCAAATAACTTTTTCGTTTATGCTTGACCACCAACTAAAGATTTAACAAAACTTGAAAACCAGCGAGATGGTGCATTGTAGCTAACGGGAACTTCTTGTACAAAAAAAAAATAACAAGACATTCACAGGAACAGGAGACAGGACGGGCTTTTGCTGTCCCCCGTTCGTCCTGTCTTCTACAGCACCCGTGCTGTCTCCTGTTGAAGAAACTCCAGTCTAAGGTCCACTGAATGCTTCGCATTAACAAAGAAGAAAGCATCGGGGAAAAAAATGAATTGGCTAAACGCTGTCCGCTGATTATTTAATGTGGATGCGTTGCATTGAGATTACGTGATTGGCAGGGTGCTCGAACATCGAAAGAACAACGCATGGTGCGTTGAGATAGGCTATGGTTGTGCAATATTCTTGTATATAAACTGAGCTATACGGACACATGACGTCACTATGGCACATGCTCGAGTGTGACGGAATGCTCGAAAAAAAGCCTGCTGTGAACGCTAACACTGCGATCGATTAAATCTTCGCTAATTGGCTAGTTAAATTAAGAAGAAGCTTCAAGCTGGAGAGGCCTTATCCCAGAAAATAACAAATAAGCAAGCGCATTTCTAAAATGTATCTGTAAGGTGTATCTCTAAGGTGTACTTAGATTTAGGTGTGCGTTAAAGAACCCCTGGTGTTCGAAATTTCTGGAGCCCTTCACTATGGCGTCTCTCATAATCATATCGTGGTTTTGGGAGATTAAACCTCTGATATTGTTATTATAATATTGTCCTATTAATGAATGCATTTAAGTAATTAGCTGGTCGAGTAACAGTTCCCTTCAGAAATACGGAGGAGTGCGCTATATTCTTGGATGTGCGCTTTTATACAAAACGGTTATCTTCATTCTCCAACAGCGTTTTGTAAAGCACTGGAATTAGGTTAAGTACAGCCTAGCAATGGGCATGCTATATACCAGAAATTCATTAACAATAGGGGCTTCGGGGCGGAAGTGGAAACCGAAAATAGCGTTTGAGACCAGAGGTGGTACAACAGAAGTCACACAATAAAAGCTAGTGACGACAGAAGTCGCGGACGTAAACGTTATACTTTACTCGTTCACTCTCCATCTAGTGACTCAGTCGTCTGCCACTGTCTTAGTTACCGATTCTTCAGACAATTTTGTGAAATATTTTTAGCCTCTAAGAAAAAATATTGCTCTTTACGGTCGCTAGATTTTTTTCCATTTCTCAAATGCCCCACTTTCCATTTGAATCGCACGAAGCGATTGTCCAAAGACAGCAAATATGCGGCTTACTTGGATTCAGTTAGGACAATTTAAGCTTGAGCCACGAATTATAAGTGTCGTCCTAATTCCGCGCACCTATATGATGTGTGTGTTTGGTTCTCTGCAAGCATTTGAAAATGATAGCTTATGGCAGCCCGAATCGAAAACAATGACGGTACAGAAACATATCGCCAAAAACTTGAGCGCCGAAGCTAACGACCAAAACAGTTGATTAACTACGCCACCACACGTCCCAAGCATTTAGAATATTGTCGAGCGTCTGTAAGACACTGTTTATTGCAATCCCCACGACTCTCGGTTAGGTGATCGTGAAGGCACAGCGTGTATGCTTAAGCTAAACGCTGATAGATCTGTATAAGACAACACGTCGTTTCGTAAGAGACAGGATAGACATTTTATATGCCTGGAAGCCAGTGCCAAATTCGGTAAATTCGAGTGACATGGTTGTGAATCAATCATGGGATCCTCTCACTTCCTGAAACAAATCAAGTTTAAAAAAGAAACAAATACTCTTTATTTTAATGTCCCATTTATCCTGCTTCTTGATGGATGATAAAACAAAGTTTGTAATTGGCTTTAAAAGTACAGTTTTGTGAATATACGTGTCCTTTCTCTCACACTCTTTTTTTTTCTAGCGTTTTTCATTTTCAAACTATATGAACCACCCTTAGAAAAAACGGCTTTGTGAAGCAGATAACAGCAATATCGCGCGTGGGTAATCTTCAGGCTCGTCGAGTCAAAGAAAAAGAAGGCCGTCCTTAAACAGAAATCAGTGTATCGAGAAGGGCAATTGAGTACTATGTCCCCATTGTCCGCTGTAATACGCCACAGACATTGTCGAGCAATAATGCACGTGCCCGGCGCATGACTTTCACACGTCTTATCGCGGCGCACGCATCGGTGTGGTGTCTTTTTCTTTTTTTTTTATTTGTGGAAGACGAAAGCGAGCACGAGGTCCAACTTTCGATGACGTCTGTGTACACATAACACCTGTAAGCGTATTTTTCCCCCTTTTTTTTCAAAATTTTGCTCGACTCTCATTGCCTCGTGAACGTGCGGTAATGTTGGTGTTGCTGCTTTAGTTTTTGTTTTTGTTTTTTTAACGAAGAAAGGCGAGTGCTTTGGCTGTGTACCACCTCACGCAAAATTCGTAGGGAAAGTTTTTTTTTTTTTTTTGAAGCACGGACTATTGTTACTGGCATTCAATGCACATCATCTGATCATGTTGCTACCAACAGTACTTCAGTTTCGTCCCGTGTACGTGTTTCCAATTCGAAGCACACACATTGTTGTATACACCCGAACGGCTACAAGGAAAGGACCCTTATAACGAAGAATTTTCGACGTCCCTCCTTAATTGCGAGCGATGCTGTGCGCTCGCTTTATAGCAATGTTACCTGTACAACGAAGTATTCCGAAAGTATCCATGCCTTCTATATATAAAGACGCATGACGATGCAGTAGAAAGCCTCAACTGAGAATTTTTCCACAATCGATTCAAATATACATACGGCGAACTGCTGACGTTCCGGCAGTATTGAAAGCCTTTCTGTACGCGCTACATTTATGACGTATTTACCTGTATAACAAGGTACTACGAAGGCATCGAAGACTGCTTTATAAAGGCGTATGACTGCAAAGTAGAATTTCTGTAGAACGAAATCACCTGTATAACGAAGAATCCCTAACGTCTCGGCTGTACTTCGTGCGTTGTGTGGCCCTAGCTTACAGCGAAGTTACTTCAGTAACAACGTGTTCTGAGGTTATCCAGGACAACGTTATAAGAGTGTCTGACCGCACGGCCAAACTGCTTGTATGACGGAAAATTCCCAGCGTCCCGACTGCAGTCGAATGCCTGTAATAAAGTTCTCAATACCTTAGGGATATTTCATTGCGCTGTAAAGGTAGCACACCGTAACGCTCGCAGTACTGCCGGCACGTTAGCAACTCATTAGTTACACACCTTACTTCGTTGTGAAAGCGTTTTGTTGAATCCTTCGACTGTTTGATGCAAGCGCTAGATACACCTACAACGAAATTACCTCTACGACAAAGTAACTTGAAAGTCCCCACGACTTCGTTATGAAGGCCTGCATATCCTCCTTGTGGTTGCTTCCGTAGATGCCGAACACTCGAGGACCGAAATTTGGCGAGGTTTCGTGTTACTTTTTTTTTTCTTTTTGTCTTGACGCACTGAGTGGAGACATCTTGCGCACTTTTTTGCAACCCGTTTTTTTGCAATGGTGCGAAGCACCGAATGCATCGGTTGCACCTGCACCGACTGTGATGTTGCCCGCTTTCTTCATTTCATTTTTATTTTCTCTTTCTTTTCCTGCTCTCTTGTGAGCGACTTGCTCTGACGTTACATGACGTTCGCTTGTTGTTATCACATCGCTGACATCACTGATAAGTTCCTCTTTACACCGTGCTGTATTATTACGCGATTGTAAACGTCTTGCTGCATAGTTCTCGTTTTACATAAACCAAAAGCCCCGCTTAACGCGTAATGGACTGAAGCACGTTGTATCAGACAATGTACAGTTTAGGCTGGGAAAACAGTAACACTATAACTTTCTTGTTTGACGACAATTTGCTAAATGTAAATGTTATAGTGGATGCAGCAATGTGCCTGTGAATTCCAGACTGTGTGAAGGTAACTGTATCTCATAAGTGTAAAATACTTGATATTAGAGTTACCGACGAGAATAAAAGCAATCGTTGGGTAAGACAAGTAACTACTGATGTGTTTAGCATGCTTACGTGTCGAATTATTAGAATGGATAGAATGGTTCGATTTCAGCCAGATCTAGGTCTTTGTGCCTTCATAATTTGAACTTATGATAGTCATAAAATAAGCATTTATAGAAACGGCAGAGAGCCTCAGTGCACAGTTGTGTTGTAACCAAATCCGACTGAGCATCACGGATGCTGTTTAATTATACTTAGAAGGACCAAATAAGGCGATGGCGCCTTCCCCTGAGAAAGACGATTGTATAAGGCTAAATCTTATTCACGGGCAATGTTGACGCTCTTGGTTGATTTAAAAAGAGAAACAAATAGCCCAGCAATACAAGATCGATAGCTTCCAAGTACCGACAAAATATGTTTGCGAACAACATCTAGGTCGTACGATGCCCGAACACGATTTCTAGAGAAATATCGAGGCAAAAAAAAAAAAAACTCGTTTTATATTATTACAAGTTGAGCCAATATCACTGCGAAAATAATGTCTTGCTCATTTTCATTTAGACGACCTTCAACTAGCACTGCAGCTAGCACAGATAAAAGCGCCAACAGCGAAGCGCGCTGTTTTTTTTTTATTTATTCTGCCCACTGACAGTGACCACGAAATAGTGATTCTGACAGTGACCATGAGAATTATTATCAGGCCATGATCATCGCTCGGGACCCATCAATGTTGACCATGTGACAGGTCACATCTGCTGTCCCTTCTTGGTTAATAAAGCCCAATTTCTGGCGTTCAGATTTCCATCCGTGCCTATATAATTAAGAGTCGGTACAGAATTACGTCCGCATAACCATGAACTTTTATGCTTTCAATAGACTTTGCATGCGATACGATAGCGCGCAAAATTAATGAGAAATTCACGCAAGGATATATATCAACGTGCATATAGCATAAAAACGTTTACACAGTGTCAGACAGAGAGTAAGTTCTGCCTGTGGATAGCTTTAGTTCGCTATTCTTTTTAGTTTGCCACTACTCTGACATTATATGAGTCAGAACTGCGCGCGCTGTCGGGTTTTGTAGTTTGCATGAGCGTCGCTGTTATCCCCCGCTCGCCCGGATGTTTTTGCTTCCCTCCCGCAAAGCATCTGAACAACCTGCTGGAGCACTACCTGGAGCCCATGAAGAAGGAGACTCTGCTGTCCAACGCCGAGATCAGCGCACTGTTCGGCAACATCCAGGAAATCGTGCAGTTCCAGAGGCAGTTCCTCCAGAGCCTCGAAGAAGCCATCGCCGCCGAGCCGGACTTCCATCGGCTGGAGCACCCGAGCCAATTTAAGGTACACCCCAACTCAACTCTCGTGCCAGCTGTGTTGTGTAGATGCTGTACTCGGTGCACAAGACGGCAAAGGTTCCGCATAGTTTGTCCAGAAATTTCGCAGAAGAGCGAAATTTTCTACTCCAATATCTGGCTGCAACAAAGCCACATTGTATTGGGTTGGTCGTACTTCTTTGTGTTAATTCAAAACAAGCCTGCTTGAAGTCAAGCAAAGCAAAGGCCAGGTTGTCTTTTTTATGTTTAATTCAATGTTAAGCGGTATTTCTTTTCATTTTTTAGTGGTGACAGCTCTGACGTAAACACGGCATGCATGGGACACTAACGGTAAAAAATAGCGCTTACATAGCCTAAAACCTGTACTGTACATTGGTAAACCATAGTCCCGATTTTCTCGCAGCACTATGTAGATGACACATAGTGCGCAAAGGTTATAGAGCGTAACGTGCACAAGCTACATAGGCCAAATGTCACAGATTGCACATCCTACGTAAAGATCAGCAACGAAAAGTGCCCTATAGGTCGCACATAACCCATGCCTAAACTGGGTACTGCACCGACCGAAAATGCAGCTTCACCACACTTCAGTCTTTCACTCTGGCGATAAAGCACCGCCTTTCCCCCATTCAGCCCTCCTCTCCGTTTATCAATATTTCTCTTGGAGGCTCAAAATTAAGCACGGGACAACAAAAGCTTGCGGAATCCACGAGTGGAGGCGCTGTCGTCGGTGTAATACCTCATTTGTCTTGCGCAAGAAAAAAGATAGAAGAAAAGACCGACGAGATAGGTTGCAGCGCAAGGAAGTTGACTTCGCGTTATGAAGTGACAAGGTTCATGGATCGACAAACTCGCGCAGCGCGAAATGAACGAGGACAGATCAAAGGATTACAAACCTCCAACTAGCCCAAGCTACCGTTCTATCAATGTTGATGGATTCAGAAAAAAATAGATGCAGCATGAGCCGAGGTAATGAGTGCACTGTGAGGAGAAAGTTTGATCACGAATTAATTACATCAACAACTTTTCCTACTTAAAGGGAAAGGGCTAGTGGGCCTGTACTTTGTCATCCTGCTTCAAAGTGGCCTTCTGTAGGTCTGGCCTCGTTCTGCCGAGCTGCTCAAAACAACGTTCCGCTGCTACTCACTGAAAAAAAAAACAATAATAATTGTTTCTGTAAATAGTGAAAGAAGTGCTTAGGACACCCCTTTTTTTCCTCTTTTCTTATAACTTTGCAAGATGATGAAAGGTAACTAATGGGATGAATGCCGTAGCACGTTTTTTCGAAGATCACTGAGTTGTGCACTATTGCGTTCGGTGCGAGCGCGCGCCCCTGCTGGTACAAGACTGCGCTAGAGGCCCAATGGACTGCCTCAACATCCAACTATTAACCGCCAATTCCATAAAACGGCGATATTCGCGTGCCGATCAGTGTGATCGAGCGCCGGACATGTAAAAGCGCAATTTCCCTCATTATTTCAACAGAAATTACACCATGTCTTATACATTGCGGAGCATTCGCTCTCAGTGTGACAGATATAGCCACGTTATAAGGTAGCAGCGGCAGCATAGAAAGACCGGTTTTACAGCTGTACGACAGGTTGTTCTGATCATTGCGGCAGCACGAACTTAATGTATTCGTCGCGTGCTTGTCCACATCTTTATTTCCCACAGTGGCACATGCAAACCAGCCAGAAACGGTACCACATAATAGAAACTCTCTTATGGTCGTGGCAATATCAACTCTTTATTGTTTTGGTTGAACTACGGTGTCCTTGTACATTTCTTTTAAGCCTTTCACCTTGGCTTCAAGTGGACTCAATCTGTTTTTTTTTTAATTTTCTTTTCTCTTACAGAACGTGTTATTTGCCCTGGGCAACTCCTTCTTGTACTACGCCGACCAATTCAAGCTTTATAGTTCCTTCTGTGCCAGTCACTCAAAAGCTCAAAAGGTCTTGCACCCGAGTAAGTACACGGTATACTTTTGAAACTCGTCACTCATACATGGTTTTTATACTTTACCAATGCATTCTTCGAATGACGTGGCTCGAATTAAATAAAGCAGTGCTTTTAATAAATGCTTATGTAAATCAGACGCTCGCGGTAGCGTTTCTTGGTGGCATTCGTGTTAATTGGTAGGACCATTTCAAAGTCAATAAAGTGATAATAACCATAAATCGGTGTATCAATTGCCATTGCTAGAAAAAAAATGCTGCTCTTTTTTTCGGGACATAGAGATCAAACAACAATCAGGTAGAGTTGATATTAAGCGAACTGATTTTCTAGTGGATATTACGTCCTATTGATGCCGCCACTATATGCTTAAGCTCCTGTGTAATCATACCGACGGTGATGCAGGTGAAGGCAACACAGCCCTCTCGGACTTCCTGCAAACGAGGAATCCCAAGGGGCAGCATAGTTTCTCCCTCGAGTCATACCTGATCAAGCCCATCCAGCGGATTCTCAAATACCCGCTCTTGCTCCAGCAGCTCAAGCACCTCACGGACCCCCTCACCGAGGAACACCACCACCTCGCAGGCACTGTCTATGTACACTTTCAGCCCATATATCAGCTGGCGCTGCAGGTCTTTCTTTTTTATTGCAATAGGAATTATATAGACACTCGGTTGAATTTTGCCGTCGGCGTCGCCGTCATACACAGTAAATTTTCCTCCTAACTCGGAATATGGTTCGGACCAGGTTTTTGGTGGCGAAGCAAAGCCGGGTTCGTTGCTTCGCGAAGATGATCACCGCCGTCTTCGTGACTTTTTCGGGAAAGATACGTCTTCACCGCTGGACGTTTTACAAATAGAACTTTACGTACAGAACTATTTATGATGCAGATATGTCAGCAAAATATGACCTGCAGTGGGGCCTAAGGCGGCCGTGCCGGTGTCTAGCCGGCAAGCTCTCCTAGTAGCAAAGGGCCCCACCCCCCTTTTATCCCCCCCTCCCGACCTCATTAACCGTGGCCCTCGTCGACACTGGGCAGGTGGTTTCATGAAAGGGGCAGGGTAGGCAGAGGAAGCTGCAGGGCGCCCTTTCTCGGGAACGCGTCAGGCAAGCGAGGAAGAGGTTGCCACGCTGAGTCGATTCCGTTTCTCCGGAAGACGTATTACCAAAAAGGACGGGGGTGGGGTTGTCACTCCGAGCGCGACCTTACATTCACCATATATGTATACTTATCTATATGTATAAAAACGCAAGAAAGAAAAATAATTCCGAAAAAGACTTCGGCGCGCGGAACCGAACGTCGCACCTCTGAGTTGTGAGTGCGAGGCGTTAGCCACTGAGCCACGAAGAAGCACCTCCTGCACCATTCAAACGGCAAGCTATTTATATCTACCACTTACCGCTGGCGATGGGAATCTCGGGGGGACTATTGTGTTTTCAGCATTACCAGTGAGATGGCGCAATGAGCGCGCGTCGCCACAATGTCACGACGCGACGGCGCGTGCTCTCGTCTCCCACGCGTACTATGCCCCGCGGAGAAGGGACTGGGTGGGTGCTAATGCGTGCGTGCGCTTGCTTATCTCGCGGTAGGGACAATCGCACTCCTTGGACTTTCACCAAAACGATTCTGTTGTAGTTACCGGGCGCGCAAAAGTCACTGCGTACGTTGCACAGTCTCCGTTTGCGAAAAGGGCGCGTTTTCCAAACGCAGCGAAGTGACAACTGAGACTCTTATTTGCGTTCAACTGTACCTGTGAGTACGTTTCGTGCGTCATTTGTGCGTGAGAAACGCGGGGGAACGTTTTGATCTGCTTGCCATTCTGTGCGTGACCTTCCAATTTGTGTCTGTCGTGTAAATTGCTTCGCTTTTGCCGCAAAGTTGTGACTTTTTATGCGTTACCAGTAAGACTGTCACAGTAGAACATTCTTCGTGATCGTAGTCAAGAAGATCTGAAGTTTAGGTATAGATGTACGCGATAATTAGGGGTCGATCAATCATAATTACAAACATTGATGCACATGCCGACTGGCAGTGGACAGCCGAAGTAGATTAAGTATAGACACGAAGTGAGTCAACTTTAAAGCTAAGTCGTCAACCTGAGGTGACTAACATCGGAAGTCAGAACCTGATGTGAAATCAAAACTGTAAATCTTAAACGGAAGGGGAGGCAAGACTGGGTGTGGGAATCAAAAGGAAAATTAACACTGATATTTGCTATACAGTGGAGATCAGTGCAAATTAAGAGCGGTGTTGGTTTCCCACAAGTAATGTGGCGGTCCGGAAGTGTTATAACGGCAGTTAGGGATAACCCGGATATCGTGTGACGAAAGTTGAAGGAGACGTCATGGGAGGGGGGGAATCTTGAAATGACGTGATGGAAGCTAGAGAATTGCATGCTAAAGATAATTGTAACGCATTTATCTATCATTAACTGATTAATTCTCCCTTATTTTTTACGCATTAAAGAATCTATCATGAAACAGGCGCATTCGTGCCATTTTATATTTCAGGCGACTTGTATATAGAGTGTATTGACAATTCTTCTAATTCAGAGACAATAAAGTTACCGGCATTCATCATGAACTCGCAGAAGCCCTCAAAGGAATGGAAAGAGTGGCCGAGCACATAAACGAGATGCAGAGGATCCACGAGGAATACGGAGCCATCTTCGATCACTTGTACCGGCAGCACGTCAAATCCTCGAAGCAGGTAAATGTGGCTTCCAGCCTGTTTATGAATGTCATAACCTTTTCACAGACGCACGCCAGAAAACAAGCTTTTACGAGGAATGCCACAAATTTAAACATCAAGCGCAGTCGAGATGCGGTGGTCAAATTAGACTAATCTGACTTGAACGTTTACATACAAAGCGACGCCAAAGTGGCACAAGCGATTGCTCACTGCCTATACGTTACGCATTCGATGGAAACGACGAAGTGATTTGCTATAATACGCGTACGCGTGCTTCGAGTTGTCGATGAATCCACCCTCGCCCTGCCGATTGCTATAGCTTCGTGGTCAGCTCAACTGGTAGAGCGACCACCCCCGAAAAGACGTAGGTTCCGAGTTCGACCCCAGAAACAAAACGAATTCTTCGGCAACGTTGTTTCTGAGTAATCCGTGTGGATTTCCTTGTGGCTTCGTGCTAGAAACGGGTGGATGTGAATTTCGCTTTCTTAAGCCTTCCGCCATTTTGTGAGATTCCACAGATGTCAACCGGTACATTACAGGATCTCTGCCTACTCCCACTTTGCTGTTCTTCACGTTTTGCCCGCTTTTCTTTATTACCAGCATGTGGACTTGAGCCCTGGTGAGCTGTTGTACTATGGCGGCGTGGAGTGGCTCAACATCTCCGAGTTCTTGGGCAAGATCAAGAAGGGACTGGAGTTGCATGCCATGTGCTTTGTGTTCAAGACGGCCGTGGTCTTCCTCTGCAAGGAGCGCATCAGGCAGAAAAAGAAACTCATGGTCAGTGTCGACTTTGCTTCCGTGACCCATACCTGCCATTGCGCCGCTTGACCGAAGCGTTCTTGTGTGTCATATGCGCCTCCGAGATACGTGACCACCGAAATCTTCACCCGCCACAGCAACGTAATATTCGCACTGGTTCGCCATATATTTTGTACGGTCTCGAGTGTTTTATGTACAAACTTACAGAACGTGAAACTAAACCAATATCAAATGACAATGCAGCAAAAAGAATACAAATGTACTAAGACGAGCAGCTTGGGCTTGTTGGTACATGACTCAATTGGAACAGCACACCCATGATCAAGGACGGAGTAAACGAGATGAAACAACCGCCTTCATCGTAGTGCTTATTCCGTTCCTCTTTAAGCGTTCGCTATTACACTCACATTAAGTACAAATATACGCGCTAATATCTCGGAACAGACAGCCGTCGTTCGGTGGTGTGTGTATACCGGTGTATTTGAAATCGGGAGATCGTCATAATTTGTGTAGTCTGGGTAGGACAGTACAACCTGGAAACGGACTGACCGTCACTGACGCCAAATAGAGTGGTTAGTTAGAGTGCAGGTGGGTCAATTTATTTGGAGCCGAAACATGACAACTTTGTTTTACCGGATAACACTGATACAATCTGTACTGCTGTACACGGTCAGCGATCGCGCTGCAAAAGTAAGAAAGACGTCATTTATTTCATCACGGGGCAATCATTTCTGTAATTTTGCGCAGTAAATAATAGATTTTACAGAAAGACAAAATTTCCTTGACATGGTGATCGAGTTAACAGTCATTCCAAGAAAAGCGCCTGGCAAAACGAAGGTAACTATACTGTTAGTCCCGAAAATTACGCTTACGTTTCGCAAAAGACTATGAGTTCTATTTCTTATAAGTGCCATTTAAGCGGCTATTGTCCGTTTATCACTTGAGTAGCACAGGTAAGAGAACTCGTTGCTCCCGAAAAGACCAGAGGAAAGCCTTACAGTCATTCAGTTATTCCCTGAAACAACCGTATGGGGAGTAACAGTACATCGCTTCGCAATACATTCCCCGAAAGAACGAATGGTTTCGGCTGGTCCGTCGCTTCTAAAATGGGCTAACCTCATTGTTCCCATTTACTCCATTTTTGCCTAAAAGTATATGTTACAGACGAACTTCATCGTTGCTTTGCAGGGAGGGTCAAGCAAGAACAACTCAGCCGAGGTGGAGATAATCCGATACCAGGTGCTAATCCCCGTAACCGAGGTCCAGGTTCGAGCCAGCAGCCAAAAGGACGCGGACTCGCACTATCTCTGGGAGCTGGTGCACCTAAAGTCGCAAATCCAGCGCCGGTCGGAGAAAGTGTACCAGCTGTCGAACAGGTGCGACACTCGCTCCAGATTCGTTTCATGCGCGGTCACTTCGGCCAAACAGGAAGTGTTTCTATCCTTGTGCGAAAGTTTGACGAGGCGATTAGTTGAAGTTCATTGGGTTATACATCGTATGTGTAATCGTATGTGTGAGCACATTCGGAGGAGCGAATGTTGCGAACATGCGGGACAGTTGCGGCTTAACAGTGAGAGGTCAACTTTTGACCTCCTCTGAAACTTCGTTGTCGAGTCTTACCGAATCACGCTGACCGTGCCATTCCCTTTTGCACAGCACGAGCGAGTTCCGGAACGCCTTCCTGCGCACCATCCGGCAGATCATCCGGGAGTCCGTGCGCAACATGACGGTGCCGGCGACAAAGCCGGCCGTGCGCGAGAAGCCCGGCACCCTGCGTCGGCTGGGCGGCAACGAGGGCTCGAGCGCCGCGTCAGCGGCCTCCGCGGGTCCCTCCACGTCGTCCATGTCGCGCACGCTGAGCGGCAAGAAGCGCAACAAGTCGTCGCAGCGTCACTCTGCGGGCGACGCCATCGAGACGTACGACAACGTGCCGGACCCGCGGCTGCCGGGACCCAGCAGCTTCCGGGGCACGCGCAGCCGCACCGTGGCCGACTCGATGAACGGCATGAGCGTGTCGGCGCGCGAGCTGGCGGCCGCCGCATCCGAGGAGGACTCCGAGCGCTCGGACCGCTCGGACCGCTCCGAGCCCAAGGCGCCCACGAGCCTGAGCAGCGCGTCCTCCCTGTCGTCGTCGGGCGCCACGGCGCGGCTGATCCAGTCGAGCCAGCCGCCCAGCTCGTACCAGCCGCCGGCGGCTGAGCAGGCCGGCTCGCCGGTGTGGAAGCCCAGGGCATCGTCGGCAGACCGCGCGGGCCCCTCGGGACTGAACAGGCCCGACGTGAAGGAGCAGTTCTTTGTGTACGAAGACTACGGTGGCGCCGCCGTCTACCAGCAGCGGTCGAGCCAGCAGCAGCAACAGCAGACGCCTTCATCTTCCAAGCAGTCCGAGTGCTGACTGGTGCCAAAGTCTAGCGCCGCCAACCGCCGCCGGGCCTTCGGCTCCTGAGCCGGGGAATGGGGGAGGGTGGCTTTTTGTACATACACGCAAGCTATTATCGTAGGTGAAAGAAAAAAAAACGGCGCTCAAAGCTCAACTTCTCACCACTCGCACGTGGGCCAAGTGTGGCTGGGGACCTCCGAGGCGCCAATAAGCGATCCCGCTCCGGTTGATCTCTCGCGCGCCGTTTTGCCCGGCGCTCTCCTTGTGGACGAAAGACGCGTCTCCTCTCTTATTCCCGGATCAGAGTACCTGACTTTTACATCGGGGGCGAGGGGGAAGAAAAACACAAACGCTTTCTTACACCCCGCAAGAGCAAAACTGCAAAGCAGCTCCAGCAGCAACGCTGCACCACTCTGCAAGCATACACCGCAAGGAACGATGCCGCACGGCAGCTCAATGCAAAGCTGCTCGCGCACTTCTCGTATGCGATCTGCTGGCGTTACGTTGTTGCAACTTTCTCCTCTTCAAGAAGTGTACGTGTCAACGCATCAGGCGCCCTTTCATCTCTCAGTTGGTCTGTCCTCGCCACACCCAGTTTTGCTCTTCATCCAACTTTCTTTGTTTGCATCTGCGCGCACAGTTGGTGCCAGGTCGTTCAGCCAATAAGATTCGTTGTGCGGTCACAGCGACGTGCGTTCTCGCTGATGTCATCACAATTCTTCCCCATGTACATAATTGTACTTAACATCCTTTCTAAACGTGTTAAAGGTAAAAGAACATCGAAATGCCCGACACATTAGCAACCACGACAGAAACTGTTTTTCAATCGCTCCTTCTTGATTGCGCAGGACGCCGCTCAAGCAGGCGGGATTCGCAGTAAATCTTTAATAAGACGCAGGAACTTGCACTCACGCTAAAGCTCGATGTGTCTCTAGTTGCTCGCTCACGAAAAAAAAATTCCCCTTGTTTTAATTTTGCTATCTTTGTTTGTTTGATTTCGGAGACCAATTAAGTACGCGAACCTAAGAAATCAGGGAAGCCTCTTCGATCACAGAGCCATCGGGAATGAAGCAAGGCACAATTTAAACGCGAGTTTCAAGGGGTGATATTGTATGTCAGATGCATGATTGAGTCGCCTTTCTGCGGCACCAAACAGCGTTTTCACCTGCGAGAAGTAGCTGGATATCAAGGTGTATGAAATGTCAAGGGTCTTGCAGTCGAAAGTTTTTACCGTATGGTGTACGATTGCTCTCGTTGCTCTATAATATGCATCATACGGGTGCTCGGGGTGGTTGACCGTGGCTAAAAGGAGTATACAAGGTCTTGTCAACGTTAGCTCGTGGTTCTCTGCTATTGGAAGGGAGTATCACGGTATCATATACAGTCGTTTGTGATGCTCTACCGTGGTGTAAGGAGGTAATGAAGGTCTCATACATGGTCGCTCGTGATGATCTGTGCAATGTCGAAAGAGGGTATAGAAGGTGTCATAAACGGTTCGTCGTGATCCTCTGCCAACGACAGGGAGTATAAAAGGTCTCATACATGGTCGCTAGCAATGTCTGCCACCGAGAGAGAGAGTGTGTAAAAGGTGTCATGCGGTTGCTCGAAAGGCTCTGCCTTGGCTAAAGAGAGTATAAAAGGTTTCGTACAAAGCCGCTTGCGATCTTCTGCTATTAAAGGGGGGTAAAAAGATATATGCAGCTGCTGGCAATGTTCTGTCATGTTAGAAGAGAGCTCGAAAGATCTGGGATTACTGCCACGTTTTCGAACAAAAAAAGAAAAACTTCGGGGGTTGTTTTTACGTTAATGGTATCAATCTCGACTGCAGGGGACACCCGGGATTTTCGTGATGGAAAAAAAAAGCTGGAATTCTGTCTCATTTCGAGACATACTGCATGCATTGGTATTTCTGTAGGCCTCGATCCTTTTTCACCAATGCCACTCGTGGGGACTTCAATGCTTCGGCAGGGTTCTCCGCTGGCGACGCTTCTGACGGTGCTGCAAAACTTTGACCGTATCTTCAGTCTCGGTGTTGTGGTTCTGTTAACGATGGTTTCCCTTTCCGATAACATTGCCGTCTTCTTGTTTCTCATTCGCTTTCGCGAAATGAATGGCTACATGACTGGCGAATGCGACGTTCGTCCAAATGTGTACAAGAGGGGATCAGGACGGACTCAAACAGATCATCCTTGTATGCTCTGTATGTTCCCATCTTACAATGGTTCGATGCATCCTGTTCGATTACCATGACCTGCTCATACAGTTGGGGGCCTGTTCAAACCACAGGACAGGAGAGCATCTCTTCGAAAGGATTATTTCGATCTTCGAAACCATGGCTCCCTTGCAAGATCTGATCCTCGTTTGGTCTCATGCAAATCAGTTGACGCCATGTGGTTTCCTTACCCCTTTTCTCCGTCTTTTCTTCGGCAATATTTTGAATTGTCGCGAAACAGTGTGCAAACTACGCTGTATTTCGTTGGGCGATGGCCTGAATGCAAGGACCATCCGTATTTTGTAACTCTTCACCGCGTAAATTTGTCTGATTCCAGCTCTTAGCGCCTCATCAGGCGGGGAACGTTGTATTATGGTTGTTACGGGGATGGACGACTCATCTAAATTGGCTGTGCCATTGATGATGGTTCCGTGTATGGTCTCTTGAACACACCAAAAACAGCCATTGCACTTTTTCTATCCATACGTTCGTTTAACTGGCGACCTTCGGGTAATGGTAGGACTGCATGTTATGGAAGCATCCACATCCGACTGCACATTTAAAAAACACACAAATGGAGCATATCAACTGCAAGACCCATATGTGGGGGGCCCCAGCATCGCTGACAATGTGGAGCGCTTTTGTAGCGTGCAGTGGTTCAAGATGAAAACAAGAAGCAAAAGTCTGCGAATTGCCTCTTCTTGTTTGCCTTGGACAGAAGGACGATGACTCTGACTGTACCCCTGCATATAGTGTACACTAATGTACACTAGTGTACACAAGTGTACACTAGTGTACACTTACCCCTGCACAAGCTGAAAGGGTGGCAAGATTGCCTTCTGAAGAAAGCTGCGTTCCACTGGATTTGGCGGCGTAGACCTGCAGAGATTTTCTGCAACTCTACTCTCCTCCTTAACCCCCAAAAGCCATCAAAGCGCTCACGCGACGCCAGCTCCGAACGCAGCCTGAAGCAACGTGCGGTGTCGCCTGCTGACGTTAGAAAAAGCTACTCGCTCGAGCATTTTCCCTTAGGCACTCGAAGAATTTACTGACGTTAATTCAACAACAAACCACAACGGAAGGCATTTGTTTTAGCCAGTGTGTTAACGTTACTAGTCAACATGGTGGTGTGGATAACGCTCATATAGCAATCCCGTTATCCGCATCGTTTGTGATTTCATTATTTCTTACTTGCCACGGAGTATACAGACTTCCCTGCCCATCTCTGTCCCCGCCTCCCCCCATCTATCTCTCCCGAAACCCATCTTATGCGTACTGCAAGTTGGACTGTGGGTGTTTTGGAGACGATGTTTGTACAATAATGAACTGGAGTCGACACAAATGCAAAACAAAGAGGGATTTGCCGGAGGTGTGCATAAATAATGCGAGTTGTGTCGGAACCATGCTCAAGCTGTTTTTAAGACGTTTTCCCCCGACGACACACAAACACAAGCACACGTACATCCATAGATGAAATGCATGATAGCATGACCGCTGAACTCTGATTACTATATGAAATGCATGAATGTCATCACATCTTCTCATGGCACATCGTTCCCTTGTCTTGACACTTGTTTCGACGCAAAAACGTTCTCCAAATGTCGTACGGAGGACACTCCAGGTGGAGAGATTAAAAAAAAAACATTAAATGGTATGGTAAGACTTTTTATTCCATAGATCCAGAGTGTGTTAAAAAAAAGATGTGTACTTTTAGACCTGTGCTACACTGTCTTCAAAATGACTTGAATCTTTCCGCTAGCCTTCGATATATTGCATTTGGTGCTGTGTATAAATGAAAACGCCAGTGTCGTCTCCTCTTCGCTTTGTGTTTTCGCTTCAGTTGTTCGCCCCCTTAGAGGTGTGCGTGACGATGTCAATAGTGGACGTCACGCCAAGCTAACCAACCCCCAAAGAGCATTTCTTCTTCGTGCCACGTTGGCTCGTTTCTTTCGCCAAAGTACTCTGTCTGATGTGTTGTTGCCCGTAGGTGTTCTAGCCTAGTATGAATAAAGTACAGCCCATCCGAACGACGAAAAAAAAAGTCTGTATGACAGGTTCACGAAAAAAAAATTGCAGGTCTAAATAAACACATGATGTAAACACAAATAACACGCCAAGCAGACACGTTGTTCGAGAGTCTATGGTATATAATTATGTATATTATAATACAAATCACGAAATATCTAGCGGATATGACGTCTAGGCCGAATATAGCGACGGAAGGAGGCTAACATGTTCGAGAAGCTCACTTCATTTGATGTATTTATTGCGATAGAAACTCTTTTAAACGGCCTCTACAAACTAGCCATACTACGACGAGGTAAGCGGCTGGAGTCGCGGCGCTCTCCTGCAGAGTTGGCCGCAACATTAGCAAAGGTGTTTTAGGGGAGTATATTGACGCCCTGGAAGGTGATGGGGAGTATTTTCAAAGTGACCGGGAAGGTGTCCTGTACAGGAATGATGGTTTCGGAGTGGGCGTTGTTGGTGCCGCGAGGAGGAGGATGAAAACTATGAGCTTCTTTTAGAATGTGAGTCGTCGGTTGCGGCTCATACGTGTAGTGTCGTTCTTTCTTTCTATATCTATTTCTTGTTTTTTTATTCTTTATTTCTTTTCTGGTAGTGGGCAGGAGAAAAAAAAAAGTATAGCTCTACACTTATATTGTACACTTAAACGTGCGAAGAAAACATATTTGACTGTGTGCTGCTTGCGTGTGCATGTTGCCGACGAATGTGTGTACGTGTGTATGTGTGTTTCTGTTACAAGCGAGTTTGAAGGCATACTGTACACAAATTTTTGTTTATCATATTTCATTTTTTCTTCGCTCAGTCCTTATCAGGTGAGCAACAAAGATCAACCCACTTCTCCTTTTACTGGGTCGCGTGGTCATTAGAATCACGTACTGGATGACATCTCCCTTTTTGAGGGTGAAGTGTTTCGTTTTCTTTCGTCGTGGTCTGTATACCCGGTCTCGATGGGTGTTAGGGAAGACAATACTTCAGCCTGTGCAGCTTCGCACTCGTGGCCTCTAGGGATTGCGCGTACTAAGATGAGAGAAAAAAAAAAAGAGCTTAGTCAAACACTGTACATTTGAGTTTGTCGACTTGAAATGTTGAGAAGTATTTATTACGATTTGTTGCTTGTTGCTATGTGTTCTGTGTTGTTTGTCGCCGTTTGCAGTTACATCCACCACTTATTTATTGCATTATTGCTTTGCTATCCATGAAAAGAAAACGTACAGTTTCTCTCATGACCTGATCCTGATTTGTGCACGAAGTGGGCTGAAACGTAACGTAAATGGAATGTGTTTCTCAGAGCTCCCATTCTGCGCTCAGCTTTAAGTGAAACAAGCGCAACGGAGTAAAAAAGAAGTGAAACGTACGTGTTACTCCGTGAAGTGTCGATTAGTAGAGTGCAGTGGTACTTGCGTTAAAGGCGAAAGTTACGTGTATATATGTACTTTAACCGTTTATGTACAGGTTAATCTCTTTAACGCTTACGCCGTTTAGTGTGGATTCTCTCACCCCTACAAGGCGTTTTTTTTTCCTTACTGCATATCGAATAATACAAATATATACCGATTGGCGCTTATTGTTGCTATGATGATATTTCCGCAATTATTTTTTTTACCCGAGTGGCTTCTTCTCGCCAGTCGTTTATTTATTTTTATTTTTCCTATATCGGCGTGACTTTATTTGGAGGTGCAAAGGCGTGGAATGCACTCAAATAACAAAGGGTATTTCGACAGCACCACTACAGGGGTGTAGCAGCTCTTTCGGTGTTCTAACTCCTTTTTAAGGACTTATTTCACACCAAGAAAGGGAGTCCTAGGATGTAAACTTGCCGAAAGAGGAGTCGGCGTAGGTTTAAAAACTACTGCTTAGAAGTGCTAGAAGGAAGGTCGCCTTGTCATGCCGTGAAGTTAACAATGCTGGAGTAAAAACGGCCCCGGCTGGAGTGTATAGCTAGATAGGGTAACTTTTAGACTGTTGGCGCTCTCACGGGAGAGGGGGGGGGGGGGTTGCAGTGGTGCACCGAGGTGAAACTAACTTGGAGGAGAAAAGACGTAACGTGCCAACGCTGTGTAGCCTGAAGGCGCGCGTAGCTTGGGGGTGTTTCTTTCGCTACTTAATCGATGGACAACGGTGCCTCAAGGCCTGTCGTTCGCACCGGCAGAAAACGCACTTAGCGTGCGCTCCAGTCGAGCAGGGAAGCTCGCCTAACAGGGTTTTTTTCGACAGCAGATCAAATGGAGCCAAAAGAATCGGACCACACGGCCGCTTCGAAGAATCTTTCTTTTATTTCGTCCTTTTCTCCTTATCTTGGAGATGTTTTACCGAGAAGTGTACGCAGTGCGCTTAGTTGAGCAGTGTTTATTCGACCATTACAACTATATATAGGCAAGCTTACTACATGGTTTTAGATACTGGTCAGCAGCGTGAGTGTTTACAAATGAAATACTTTACTCCACTTATAGCGACCATACTTCGTTCTTTTACGGAGCGACAAGGGGCCGAGGCCAGTACGGGATTACGACTCTGCGTTTACTATAGTGTGCCACGTGATTTTGACTGTGGTACAAATGTGCGGAGAAACTAATGAGTGATACAGTAACGTTCCGTGACAGCCTGCGCACGCTGTCCTTACGATACGACGCAACGCTCTCGTTTATTTTGTTGCTTTTTGTGTGCGCACGCAGTACGTGATCCAAAATTTTCAGGAATATCATTCAAGTACGATAACGCCCTCCGTTCACCCGCAAGCTGTCTCAAAAGCGGCGCAGCGCTGTTAGTGCGGCCTGCGGGAGTCGGTCAACGTTTGATGGCTGAAAATATGGCTTGAAATGAATTTAATTGTGTAATAACTTTGTACGAAAACGTGTGTACGCTGGCGTCGACGGGAACCGGCGAGCTGTTTTCACTGCAGCTTGCACTACGAGAACCTGAGCTCACCTGTCGGAGTTCACGCCGGTTTGCGAGACTGGGCATCGCGCGTCGTCTGTGTGTTTCAATTCTTCGGAGCGTAGCCCCCTTTTTTACCCCTTATTTTCTCTAGATATACGGACGCGCTGCTTGTGCTTGTGTGTTAAGCTCGTGTTCACGACTGGCGTGGATCGCCAGGACAACAAACACGTGGGTGGGCCGTACCACTCGTCGCAGACGCCACAAATTGATACGCGGTGACCACGTGGTATACCACCGGTACTCTGTGTAAAACACTGTTAGGGTCAAATTTTTTCTTTGACAATGAGTGAAATAAAAGGGAAATATTAACCACGCTGACCGCTCACTCAGTGTCCGTTATTTCGTGTTGACCCAACACCTCCGCAGATAAAGGCTAAGTTGAAACCTATACATAGCAGGTGTAAACAGTTGGCAGCATCAGGGGTGCGGGGGACACTCCTCCAGTGAGTGCACACAGTGAACCGCTTTACACTCTTGAACGGGTTTCGCCTTTTCTAGGCAATGAAGAGAAAGCTACCGGGGCGGAACTTCTGTACAGGTACTACGACGCGAAGCAGTCCGGTATGCCATGCGTTCTGTATACTCCCCTGTGCAAAGTGATGGCTGTGCGCGACTATAGTGTTTCATATCGACGCAGACGCCGCTCGGCGTTCGAGGGACATGCAGAGGGCGTGGTTTTCTGACGCGTTCGACCAAAATCGCAGCACATCCACGGAGCGAATGATGATGAGTGGGGCGAAGCTTCCATCAGTTCATCCGTCCATCCGTCTGTGCGTCAAACAGACTGACAGTCGACGAGCAGACGCGGCCAGCGGATTATTCATGGTTTGCCGATAAAACCCTCCGGAGCTTCGCCCCACTCATCATCATTCACTCCGTGGATATGCTGTGAGGTGGTTACTACATACATGCATACATACAGGTGACGACCGACCCACGCCTTGAGGAGCTTCGCCCCTTAAACGGAAGTGACAACAAATAAATTGAAATAAATACGAATGTCTTACTAGTGTGAGCTGCATCCCGTGTCAAAGAGCTACATGCAAAAATGAAGGCAGTATTTTTCATGTCTCCTGTCGAAAATAAGGACACAATTATACGACTGAATTCATTAACGGTAGGATATGCGCGATTTGGCTCTGTAGCCTTCACTGCGCGCATTGCCAAGAAAAGCTGTCCACGACTATTGCAACCTTTCTCCCTAGAAAAAAAGGTAGTATCACAAAGGAAAACACTCATGCCCGGGGGAAGGGAGTGCAAACCGCCTAAACATCCTAATCCCTGACAAACGGTTAAAAAAAATGCCACTACGCAGGGAACAACCAATCATATTACTGGTGTGAGCTGCATCCTGTGTCAAAGAGCTACATGCAAAAATGAAGGCAGTATTTTTCATGTCTCCTGTCAAAAAATAAGGACACAAATGTACGACTGAATTCATTAACGGTAGGATATGCGCGATTTGGCTCTGTAGCCTTCACTGCGCGCATTGCCAAGAAAAGCTGTCCACGACTATGCAACCTTTCTCCCTAGAAAAAAGGTAGTATCACAAAGGAAAACACTCATGCCCGGGGGAAGGGAGTGCAAACCGCCTAAACATCCTAATCCCTGACAAACGGTTAAAAAAAATGCCACTACGCAGGGAACAACCAATTATATGAACATGGAAGGCAGACAGCTAGTAAGGAGTCCACCTATGGCTTTTTGAAGCCTTTCTCGATTCGCCATTTTAAACGACGAAATATATAGAGACGACGTAATTCAACCATGGGCCAGCCCATGGGTCCGTTTGCTGAAAGCAACTGGTTTTAACAAAATGAGACGCGCATGATCATCCATGGTAGTCGGAATAAAATAAAAAAATAAAATTTGGCAGGTCCCGTGTACCTTGTTAATGGATGTTATGCGAAGCATGTGGATGGAAGGTGACTGCAGTGTTGTAATTTTTTTTGAAGAAAACATTACTAAGTGGCGCTGAAGATATGTAAAAGTGCACACACAGACACACGTTAAACAGCTGCATATGTTCTATGTCACCCGTTGTTTACAGTTGCGTAACAATGCCAACAACAACACGGATATTAACAACACCAGAAGCAGTGAATTGATATCAAGCGCTGGTGCTCGAAGGTGATAGCCCTAGACACTGCAACGTAAATCGACTACAGTGGATTGAACTTAACTACAATTCACGTTAACCCGGCGTGACGGGGCTGTATCACAGAAATACACCGGCAAGGTTTGTAAAACTAAAAGCGAGCACTGCAACCACAATTGACGTTTCGCAAACAATATGACTTATCTCAAAAGTAGTTCCGAGACCTGGCGTGACTCCGTGATAGAATACTTGATTGGCAGAATGCTAAGCTTCGATTCATTCTGGGACCCTGTTTATTCTTTTCATTCGTCGGGTCAACGCTGCCAATGCCAGCTTCTTCTTAACGCTTTCGAGTTACAATTTCCCATGCCTGTTCTTGTAATTTCTGGGTAGATGTAAACAGTCAATCACATGTGGCACATACCCGCATACCTTTAGCACATACAGGACCGCGGGTATATGTCATACGCCTGGTGAAAAGGGCTTGACGACATACGCGATGAGATTGTGACATTCATGTCATCACCAGCGAGTCGTATTATCGTACCTAAAAGTGCCCTAAAACACTTTTCTGAGTAACCGTGAATTGGACTAAATAAAACAGGTTATTGCCTCACCAATTCGATGCCGCAAAAATTTAAAGAATCCGTCCAGTATACGAGCGGCTTTACAAAGATTTGTCACACGCTGCAATCGCATTCTCTCTTCTCTCGTGCCGACGAAAGCCCTTGGAAGCTAAGCAAGGGGGATGGCATAGGAAACGAAAATACGTCATGCGCGTCTAATGACCTTGAGTATTTTTTTTTTTTTTTTAAGATACGTCGGTTTTTCAGTGTGATCGCCCGAGCACGCGTGGACAAGTCGCGGCCTCCCGCGGTGATCCCTGTAACGACCAAGCGCGCCGTGTTCAAATAGCTGATAGATGGCCTTCTACGACTCTTTTATCTTCCTCCGTCATTTGTGGAGAGAAGAGAAAGCAATTTTCAGCTGAATTTGATAATTTATAGCGAATCGCAGGCTGCGTGCTGCGAGATATTACTTGGTTCGCGTGTTCTCGGGAGCTTCTACTACCGATCGGCAGTGTTTTCTGACCATGCTCGAAAAGTGTTCCATGGCCCCTCCAAATCTTTTTTTTCATAGTATAAAGTAGTGCACAATAGCCATTATTGTAATACTAAAACGTTCCACCCCCCCCCCCCCCCAAAAAAAGAAACATGGTTGATCCCTCCGCCATAGGAATCAGTATAACACGAAAGTGAAATGTCTCTTTACAGAAGTGGTTTAGTGCTTATTGTACATTGATACAAACAGAGCTTATACCGTCTGTTGGTGTATGACAGCTAAATCACCATTTTTCGTAAATACATCCACGTTGACATTTAAGGATGCATCTCCATCTCGACGACTGACGTGCATGATTAATGATTGATTAATGGTTAAACATGTCCCGGTGGTTATGGATGCCTGTGGAAGCTGCAGTATACTTATTAACGGTGAAAGCGGAAAGTGGTATGACAGCCAGAGGAGCATGACTAATTGCACGCTACACTTGGGCTACGGTTTTCTTCTCGCGGCATGTTAGAGTTATTGAACGCCACTGCCCTATTAGAGGGCAGGCAATACAACGCGCGTTGCGTCGTCCCTCTTGGCCAGCCACGATTTTTGGCCTGGCGAGCGTAAGCGGGGAACGCGAAGTTACATCCAGGCAAAGCAAGCGCGTTGCTCTGTGCGTTGCAGAACTATTGTTGGTATGGATGGATGCTATGAGCCATGCCGACGCTTTGGGTGAGGTCGCCACTTCGCAGTGTGTTAAGGCGCTCATAAGATTGAACTACTTCTATTGGAAACGTCCCGAAAAGGACGGGCGCGTACAAACGACATGTTGAAAGAAGTAATCATGAATTTTGCGGAAATATTTACAGAGATTATTGTGAGCAGGCTGGGCTAGATATAAAGGGCATGTTTTGAAAGCCTGCAAAGAGTGTGGCCGGGGCACAGCGGATAGTGTACGCGGCAGCTGTTGTCGCCGACCAAGAAGTTGTGGGTTCGACTCCCGTTTTAGACGTAGTTTCTATGACGGAAGTACGCTACGGAAACCTTGGTGGACCCCGGCATAAAGCACTTTCGTGTTAAGAAGTCCTTACCTCAGCAGTGTGAAAGAAAGAGCTGCCTCAGCTAATTGCTAGAGCCACGTGAACGCCTCTACATGTAAATCCTTCGATCACACGAGACCTCACTTTCTTTAGTCGACCAGGTTGGCAACATATGTAGAGCAGATGTCATAAGATGAATTGCACCGAAAGAACCTTTTTATATTTGCTAGGTGGTTGCTGAACGACCTACACATATTATTATGATACCTATTGAAATAATTCTGCTTTAATGGGTTAATAAAGTTTATCACTGAGATCAACGTAGCCACGAGTGCGATGGGAGGCTGGAGTTGGATCTGAACGAGTGCAGGGGTTCTTGGGTCACGAGAACCCCGATTCTTCGAATGCGCCGAGTTTTCTGTCAAACGCAGAAGCAAAGAAACGTAAAAGAAACGCACGGTGCATTGCCTCGCTGAAAAGTAAGGACGTACCGTGAGGATGTCGCGTATTGTGTTATCGCACAACGTCGGCTGAACGAGAGAGCTCCACAATCCCTTACGTAAGAAAATTTTCCTTCAAACGACCACCCCTGCGTTGACGTAACATTTACGTAACGATATATGATCTCCGCTATGACACGTGTGTGAGCAGAGACAGGAACTTTCTTTTAATTACACTTATTGCAAACTGATTTTTGTACAGTGCTTATTTCTCTTGTCTATAACGATGGAGCATCGTGCATGAAACGGCACGAGCGACATCTGCAGTCGCAAATACGCCTCATCTGAGCATGCACGGCACCATGCAGTGATGTGCTTGCCTCGCAGTTTCCGCCTTCCTTTATATCCATGGCGGCGATGGCTGCTTTGGCGTCGAAGCGCTGTCAACACTATAGTAGAACCGAAAGAAAAGGAAAAAAAAGAAACCAGCAATTGGCTGAATAGGCACCTTTTATACTCTAAACATATTATCGCTTCGTGATATCACATCACAGCGAGAACTGTTCGCTTCGTTTTTTTCGCTCGCTTTTTGTTTTCTTCGCTAAATCATTCAGAGCGCTTTCGACGGCGGAATCGGTTATTGCATATGCGCGGTGATAAGCAGGAATCAGTATTGCAAGGCAGGCC